TTTCACGCCAAACAATGCCCCAAAGAGAAAATGAAATATAAAGTTCTGTGCATTGTGCAAAATCTACACACAAAAAAGGATACCAATGTATATTTGATGTATATGATAAAAATTATTGGTACCTAATGAAATATTGGAATGGGATTTATTATATTGGTTTTCTAACTATTAACATTACTTATTTATTTATTTTTTGGTTTTGGACTGTGAGAAGTAAAAATGAAATGGAATATAAGGAAATATGTTTGTTGTATAAAAATTATCGGACGGCTAATTTAGAAATAGGGGCTGTTTTTAAATTGAAAATGAAATGTTCATTTGAGTCCAATAATATTGTTTATATTATCGCTTAGTGAGTTTAATTTTGTTATATCTCCTTAATTATTTGTAACAAGGAAGTAGTTTCCAAAAATTGTAGTCCATATTTTTAGAAAAAATATAATAATGTATGCATGCCATTTAACCAAATGAAAAAACCTAATCTAATCAAAGCTAAACAAAAATTACTAATTTTAATTGTAAAATCTTACAACCAGGTATAACATACGCAAGTAAATACAGTTGAAGCGAGTGTTAAACAATGCTTATTTATAATATGCAAACATGCACACGAGAATACGAAACAAATACATAAAATTGACATTTGTTATGGCACCACAGCATCAGGCAACAGGCAACACGGCATCTAGACGTGTATATAATCTGAGTAGTATACCACCATTGTTTTCAAGTAAACGGTAAAGCAATTATGTAGTAATTTAAGCGATATTACCCCGTTAGGGTATAGTTAAAATATAATAATCAAATTGTGAGTCGGAAATTAATTTGTGCAACAAATAGACGGACTAATGTAATGGACGTACATAAAATTACATCTACTTTTAACAGTTGAGCTTGGCCCTATATCTACCAATGCAAGATTATCAAAAACAAGGAAACGGGGTCACATGTATATTTCGAACACGCAGTTACACTTCTTTCCGTGAATTTAGCATAATGATATACCTGACAGGCTTTAAGTCATCGAGGCCTCGGCATTGGTTATTATTAGTTGGCTCTAATACAGCTGAGTTTATATTGTCTACGTTTCGATAAATGACTGATATCATTATCTGCCTTACTAAGATTTTTCTTTCTTGAATTTAAGGAATCTATAGCTCCAATAATACTTTCGGTACATGAAGTATTTTCTGTTAACTTCTTAAACGAGAAACTATAAAGTAAAGATCTAAAATAAATAAAGGTACCCATACTACGTGACCACACTTGGTCACATGGGGCTTAAGTTTTCGTCACCTAGTCAATATCCTCTAAATCAAAAATGAAATCTCGCGCTTTTATATATATATATATATAGCTATAATCAAATATGGCAGCGATTAGCACTTTTAAAACCAACAAAAAATGTCTAGGATACCACAGGTGAGCTTGAGGAATGTGTGGAGTGGATAGACGTTGAAGTCGTCGATGGGGGATAAATAATCACATCTAACGAAACTCCTGATGCTACCGCGGCGTGATGTGTCTTAGTGGATTGATTCTGGGAACATGTTCGTTGAAGGTGATGGAGATGGAAAATAAACTGAAACTTAAATGAATAAAAGAAAAAGAGACTTGTTTTTATAAGTACATTAAGTTATATACTTTTCTCCTCTTGATATGCTTTTTTTCCAAGAATCCCCTTTAGAAAGGTGTAAAAACAAATCACGAATGGGTCACTAGGTACGATGAAAAAGGAAGATGAAAAAGTTACATCTATTCAATAGTAATGAGAGGTCGACATAGGAACTGTTGGCCTTATATAATTTGCATTTAACAATATATAATTAAAAATTTGTTATGTGCACTGAAGAAGTGCATTTACGCAAAGGGAGAATATTTTGAGAAACCTTAAATTCATTTTTAACCTTTAATAGTTTTTCCTTATTCATTCCGGAAAAATTTTGTGTGCTCCACGTATCATGACATTAAAATTAATAATAAAAATTAATATTACACATAAAGAATTTAATTTTCGAATACCTGCCTCAAAATTTTGAATGGTGAACATGTCAAACTTTTTAAACAGACTTTCTACTTGGGATCTTATCTAGCATATGGTTACTACACAATTCCCTTATTATCTGTACTACCCTGAGTGTTGAATTCTCTCGTCGTCAGTAGGTAAAGTAGAATAGGTAGAGATTTTATTAATTGTAATTTTAAGTAAATTTAAATAATTATACAAATTGACAATGTATGAGATGGTACACGTCATCTCAAAATGGTATCGAAAAATTAAAAATATAATATTGTCTATGAAAAATATTGTTGTTTTTCTTAGCACCTCTACTTTCTTCCCATCAAAGGATTTATAAACTTATTTCGAACTTGCTGATGCGTAAATGTTCGAAATAAATAAGGAAAACATAATTATTACTATCCAAATTTGAACGATTTGTAATGAAATGTAGCCAAATCAAAAATAATTACTCCGGATTAAATTATATTGCAAACACGCCGGAATATATTAAATATATGGAAAATTAAATATACAAAGAACAATGCCCATTTTTGACCTGATTGTGTATAGAAGTGAAATAAATATTAAAATTTAGCTAATTTCATTTTATAGTAATTACACTAATCACAATGTTAAAAGAAGGTCGGGAAAAAAATATTTTTTGATATTTCTTTACGCTTATTTTACTTCAAGGTAAACATATTACCATGTTTTGAACGCACCTTAGCAATCCTTTGCTTAGGACGTTCCATTTTTCACACTACCTACTTTTGATTTTACGTTTTAGAGAAGTGAGTAAGCAGGTAAATAACAGTATTTGTATAAAAATTAAGATCAATCTTATTAGTAGTACAGATTTATTAAAAATAAAATAATAAATTATTAATGCAGCATGTAACAAAGTTCGCACGGCTGACGTACATGGATTTTTTTGACATTTGACAGTTCTGCGAGTGACTCTTACTCATCGGTATTCGCCAGTAATTGTGAGTATTTATATTTATTATATTTAATCTAAAAATGTCAATCACGTCCTTATCAAACTAACAAAGCTCCTATATATTATACCTGTGACATAACACAAACAACTGTTCAAAAGATCTATATATCCAAAATCTGTATTATAAACTCAATATTACTGAGGAAGATTACATTTGCAAATCTTGTAATGAATTCTTTATGAGAAGTATAAACCAGGAATTAACAAGCTGTGATGTAGCTTCAGGATTATCTCAACCAGGTCGAAGAACACAGTTTTTGATAATCCTTCAGAAAAGCAAACAAGTTCACAATATCACATATTCATGTTTCTACATTGTTAATCATTTGCCAGTATAAAACTTGATACTATTACTCTAGGTTATTTCTCTTTTGTATTTTAGATGTAAATTATTATATCTGTTATTAATTGACTGATGCTGTAATAATTTTAACCACAAATAAATACATAATTGATTTTTTTTTAAATATATTTTTAAGATGAATAATAATTATTGCTTTATTACTTCTTTTGTAGATAGTTTTCTTTTGTAGATATCATCATCTGATAGAATATGCAATTCATGCTGGATGAGTTGTAAGAGTGCTGCCTAACATATTAGGCATGTTGCTGAAGTTTGTGGTGTTTCTACTACTGAAGATAATTTATTTTTTATGTTTCTGAGATTAAGTTACTAGTGAACTTATACTATTTGCATTAGGTACCAAATAAGGCAAGCCAAATTCTATTATGATGAACATATTCGCTTTCATGGATCATATAGAATAGAAATATGTAGGGACACAGGAGTTTTCTAGGAATAATCTGAGAGGAAGTGGTGACATAACACTAATAAGAGGAAAAATTAAGTCCTGGCACATGTAACGAAAACAGTATTATGTCTACATTTTAATAGAAAATAATGTGTCTGGCGGAGCTAGTATAGTCGAATACTGTTGTAATTGTTTAGTTGGTTGGCGAACCATAGGATGTTGCACTCGTGTTAAGACCAGTGTGGTACTTCGGATGAACTATCAAGAAAATATCTCTGTTATAGCAGAATTTCTGGATAACATAGTTATAAGACATTTAAGTGAAGATGATGATAATTAATAAAGCATTCTACTGTAACATAGTGTTTTATTTTTTCCCCCGTTTTATGCATCAGGTATTATAATTATCGATTATTATGTATTGTAGTGCAGGCCAATGAAATGTGTAGGGCAGATAAATGATCACTTTTAACTTACGTTTTTTTAGTAAGTACTTGTGAGCTGTTAAAACAGCAGATAATGCTCTTCACTCAATTTATAGTGAAAATAATCGAGTTTAAGCAGTGACGTAAGGGCAGTCGGTTTCTAGGAATTCACAAGTAAAAAAGACGTTTTAGACCTTAGATAGGCTAATATTATTATTTTAGAATAAACTTGAGCGTAAATAGTTAGTTCTAGCACATTTATTTCGTTATATTAGGTAACTGCAAATCCTAACCTAAAAAGTAACATTTTTTAATAATTTTTGGACTTTGTAGACCAGCAATCGTAAAAATGAGTATATGATATTAATTTACTAACTTAAAGGTAGTCTTTCTGCTATACCTTGTGACTATACATACACTTTCATTATCAGGTTTTTAAATGTATGGGAAGTGGGCATTGCTCTTTACATATAATTACATCCGTGTGTTTTATTTTCCATATCAATTCCTCACATTATTTTTTTATTATCTGAGCAAATCATATTTTATATTAATACTATTTATTTCAGAATATGTAGAGTTTAATTCGTACATGAACATGTTTATTATATCATAAGCAGGAATATTGATGACAATGCCTTTTAACTTTTCCTCTACGTGCTATTTACAACTACTTTTAATCTACGTAAAGTAATTAAGGACCACTTATTTAATTTGGGAGCATGTCCGTGCGTATGCGAAAACACATACTAAAATAAAAATTCAACATGGACCTACAAATAAAATATTCATACACTGTAATGACTAATCTCAAAGTGTTAAGCTCTACTATCTTTATTTTTTTCGCTAAATAATGGCTCTATTTTCTTATTAGCTGCCACGAACACCTTCGTTGATGATGTAGACGAGGGCGCGCTAGTTTTCACGGCGCTCTTGCTGCTTGAATTTAATGAACCTTTACCAACAGAAAAAGTTTGACTTACTGAACTTTTGTTGCTGGTCGCGGTACTGCCAACGGTAGAAACGCAAGACGCAACTTGGGGAACTGTATTTTTGTGAGAATCACTAACATTTGCCATAACACGTGACTCTGATTTTAATGCCAATGCCGTTTTTGGAACACTCTGTGATGTTTCCGGCAACTTTGAACTCGGTGAGGTCACCACCTGATTAGTAGTACCCTTTTTGACATCTGTAAGGCTATCCTTTTGAGATGATTTAATTGAATTCTTAGACTTAGGTACTTCCCCGACTGCTTTCATTGTATATTTGAGATGATCTTTATCGTTAACCACGTTTTTTGTGGTTGTCAATGAACTTTTGGCACTACTAGCAATATTTGGCACTCCTATTGGCACAGAAGTTACTGGACTCGTTTTTTCTGATATTGTAGTACTTGGTTTTATTGATGTAGTTGTTATAATGCTTCGCATCGCTACACTGGTCGTTGGTACAGACTGACTAGGCACTGCGCTCTTTGTTTGTTTTTCTGGATCAGCTTTAACTGATATATTTACTTTACTTACTTGATCTTTTTGTGTTCTCGTAATGTCAACGTTTTTCATATTAATTTCGGCCTCACTGTTATCCTCTACTGTTGTTTTCTTTTGCCTTTGTAATTGTTTGTTAAAAGAAAAAGAAGTACGAGCTTTTGATCTGTCATTATTTTTAATGACAGTTGAACCCGAAGTACAAACAACAGGCTCTTTATTTGAAGGTACGTCGGGTTTTTCCGACAATCCGTTAGGAGATGACTTTTTACATTCAACACTTGAAACAAAAGTTTTTCCGTTACTTATTTTTATACTTTTTTCTTGGGCGGGTTCATGTGATGAAAATCTTCCAAAAGAAGTTTGTGAAACATTTTTCTTTCCTTTATCCACAGTGCCAAGATTTTGATCTTGTTTAATTGCTATTGCGTCACTTTTTGTTACAGAAGATGTTTTACTCAATATATCCATCTTTTCAACAGTTGAAGTTGGTATTTTAGAATCTTTTGACGTTGAAGATTTTTCAAACAAATTTTGCGAAGATTTTGGAGCTATTTCTGATATTGTTGTAGATATTGTGACAGTGTTATCTTTACAAGAAGGTAATATTGTTTTCAAATCAGCAGTAGTATCTAAACCTAACGTCTCTGAATTCAAACTATCATTAGTACTTGTGGTCGATTTTAAAATGTTTTGTTCACTTCCTTGGTACTCTTTCCTTTGGACGTCAATTTTTGGTTTAACTTGTTCTGTGTTACGTTCCCCACTGTCAATTACGCAGGGAACAGGTTTGATGACACTACCTTCAATAGTTGACAGAATTGGCACCGGTGTCACTTGTACAGGCTCCATTTGTTTAGTTTTGTTGTCAGTGTGAATTTTTGCGGTCGTGAATATTAACGGACCCGGTATGTAAGAAGATCCTCTACTTTTCTCTATTTCAACAATAACTGCGGTTTTAATTGGCATAGTTTTTGTGGTTTCAAGCCCGCCAAATACATTTGTATTCATATGGTTATGAATTGGTGCCGATACTTTAGGTGCTGGCGTTTCCTTAACTTTACTTGTATAAGTAGTATTTTCCGATAAGGGGGTGGTAGACGTCGGTGAAATCTTCTCGACTTTACTTTCAATAAAAACGTTATCAGATCTTTCACTTCCTGAATCAGTCTTAGACTTAGACATTAAAAATTTGGCACTTGTACTATTTTCAGATTTCTTCCTTTCAGGTTGCAACAGTGGTTCGATGACCGTATCGTCCGAATCATGACTAAAATTGGGCATTTTTCTTTTTATGGAAGTACGTTTCGATTTAAGCCCCGATGTCTTTTTAACTTCATTTTCTACAGCACTTGTTATCGAACTGGTGTCAACGCCATCTTGAGAAGTCTGCAAGAAGTTATTAAAATCGTCATGATAACTTCATCATAATTCAGTATAATGAATTTTGAAACGAATAGTTTATATATAGGCAGCCGTATATCATTGTATTTTGACAAGGTAAAAGTTGGTTAACATTGAGATTCGATGAAAACGCCATCAAAATACTTAGGTTTTTTGAAGTTATACTTATAGGTAATCCTTTTGGCGCCTTGGGAAAAAAATTAAGAGTAAAATTTTTACGATGCACGTCTGCAGTGCAGTAATGAGCAATAATTTTAAAAGGATAGCAGCATCGTCAAAATTATGACTTGTAGTAGTCGAATTTGTTACTATAATTGTTGATCCGATTCGTCCAAGCGACGTGCGACATCGGACCTCATTTATGAGTAAATTGTGCTTAGCAAATGCCGCAAAACTTTATTCATTAAAGATTTTTTTATTTTTTTAGATAAATAAAATAATATAAATAAATAATTTTGATTCGAAGTTATTTAAATACCGCATCAATTGTACTTTTATATCTCGTTGTGCGAATATTGCGCAGATGGGACATAGTAAAATCTAATTCTCTATTCATAAATTCAACTAAGCACAACACTGTAGCCGCGTCTCGTGACGGTGTCGCGGGCCCAGAGATTTTGTCTCATCTAAAAATATGCGTACCGCGCTTAAACAAGTTTTCACTTCAAAACGTAGGAATAATGTGGGCACGCACAGAGTTGTCCAGCTTCCGCATGGCGATGAGCGGGTGCGCGTGGGGTCAGGCGCCGCGCTCCCTGAGCACGGGGCGGCCGTGGAGCAGCAGCACGGGCGGCGAGAGCTCCGGCTCCGTCCGCAGCGCCATGCACGAGACGCCGGCGGGGCCCCACTCCTCCGTGGGGCGGGCGAGCACGCGCGCCTTCTGCAAAACAACGAGAGTAACAGCCTGTATATGAACCACTACACACCACCCACACGCGTACGTACAGTCCAAAAGGTGTGTATGTGTATACAGGGTGATTTTTGTTTACATGTATGTGTTATACAGGTGATTTTTGTGTGATAATTAGGTAACAATTACGTACCAGTTTCGGATTTAGAATCAAATTCTGCATATACTCTGGTAATATGTCCGTCGTCTATAATATCACCCTATATAAAGGACAGGTAACCAAATACGCGAAAGTGTACACCGCTACGAAGATTTTTATAGAAAGCCATTTTTGTTGTTTAGCTTCAGTTAGTTTGTTTTGACGTAGGCTGAATGCGTTCAATACATTGGCACTTGAGTATAAGTTTTAAACACGTACTTGTTGGCTGCTGTATATATATATTTTTTTTATACTTTATTGCAACCTTTAAATAAAAAGGATTACAAGGGGCGAACTTAATGCCTTTGCTAGTTGATGTTGCCGAGTTGCTAGTTAAAGGACTAATTGAACATTGTTGCTATTTGAAGATGGCGTCGTCTTCATGCCATAGCCACCAAGCTATTGACAACACGGGACAAATAAACATTTTTTTACTAACAAAAAACAAAACCGACTTCAAATATCTTGCTCTGTATTCATTTTATAGTTGATTTTCAACCCACCTCCATAATGGTGAGATCGTCGGGCCCGCTGCAGATCTGGTCTACGGCCATTAGCACCACCACGACCACGGGAAGAACGCCCAATGTCCAGCCCACCGCGTCCGCCCACATCGGATACACGTAGTGACCGTACGAAGCCGGTTTGTACTCAATCCAGTTGAAAACCAGGATAAACTGGAATAGTTTTGATTTAGCACGTTAACACAACTTTTTAACATACATGTATATACGTTGATAAATAAAACCTCTATTCGTCATAGCGGCTAGAAAATTAAGCACACTAATTTTGTTTAAAAATTCGCTTGTATTATTACATTGAGATCATTATGCATTTGTTGCATTTCATTTTTGTATATGATGACGAGTTATCTGTCAGGAAACTAAATGAGAGAACTGAGACTTGTATAAAAAAATATTATCCATTATTTATTATGATTTCCTTAGGGGCTTAGAAAAAACATTTTATCCACCACAAAAAACAATTTATTCACCACGAAAACCACTTTGTTCATCATGGAATATTTTCCAGTAGCAGGGATCGATCACTATTTGGCTTTAGCAGCTAGTTTATACACTAACCTTTAACGATGTGTTACGACTTAAATACGAGAAGTCGATATGGGAACGTCGTACAGATATATATATATATTTTTTTGCTTTTCTATTATTTATGAACGCATACATACCACTAGAGCGGCGGGCGTGATGACGCGCCACATGGCGCTCCAGAACACCACCCACAGCTTGGACTGGCGCCCGATCATGCTCTGGATGTCGTGGCAGAACTTCTCCGCGCCGTAGATCCACGCGATGAGGATGCACTCGCCAATCGCGATTATCAGCACGGACCAGTTGGCCGCGTACTTGTCCATCAGCTGCAGCCAGTACATCCCGCTCTGGACGGCATTAAAAGGTCAATCAACTCGATAGATGGCTCTTTTAGAGAAAGCGGCTTTCAATTCTACGTGAGCTAACGTTTCCGCGGGCTGATATAATACACGAACATGTAAGCACGGCCATGCCTACGTTTGTTTTAACGTAGGCTGAACGCGTTCAATACATTTGCAGTTGAGTATAAGCTTTACACACGAACTCTGCATTCTCTCTATCTATCTATCTATCTGCTGCATTAATATGCAGCTATGTAATCATAGTAGTATATTATTTTGTGCTTTTATAGTATCATTTTATTTTAAACCATCAATATGTGTAGTTAGTGTCCATAAATGTGTTGCTTGACAACATAGGTATCCAAGATTGACCCACCCAAGACTTTTAACAAATCTGAATATTAAGTAATACCTTAAAACTACATGCTAATGATTTAGATAAACTTATGTAGAATCGTCATACAATTTAGGATAAATTATATGACGACTCTACACAAGTTCATCAGCGATAAGATTTTCATCTGAAAATGGTAGGTTTTGTTTATATGACATAAACTTACGTTGGTGGTAAAAATAAGACCGCCGATGTATCCGAAAATGGCCACCACCAAAACAACCCACACCTTCTTCTGTCGGAAATTGGGGAAACGATCCAAGATTGCTGTCGTCACCGTCTCCATTAGTGCAAACTAAAACATTAAACGCAAGGTGAAGTATAAAAGAAATGGTGGTGAAATATAAATACACAGAAATAACATATGTCTATCCCATTATCATTGTAGTTGATGGTTCAAATTAGCGATGCTTAATTTTTTGCTTATACCTTTGAAACAAACTTGTGTGTGCGTGTTAGTTATGAATGGTCGCGCGTAAAAAAAATGAGTTGCCCATAAATCACTTTTGCGCACGCACTTTTTGAGATAAGTTCATATGAATGTAATTAATTAATTGAGAGTGATTTTAAATATTCATCATTTTTTATATAACATTATTTATGTCCAGAATATAATAAAAAAATGGATACCCTTAGAAAAGCCTCGCTGTGGACAAACCAACAGCATTACGCGACTTACGTGCGTATTAGTGCGTCTGCGACAAACCTGCGAGTCGAGCCCAAGTGTGAGGAGCATCACGAAGAACAAGATCGACCAGAGCGGTGACACTGGCAGCCTGGTGACCACCTCGGGGTACACGATGAATGCCAGCCCGGCGCCCTGGTCAACCACGCGGTCCACGCCGACGTTCAGCTCGTGCGCCAGGAAACCGATCACCGAGAATATCACGAGGCCGGCGAAGAACGACGTCGCTATGTTCGACACGGCCACGATCAGCGAGTCGCTGCAAACCGCGATGTCGCTTTGAGTCGAGGGCGTTTCTTAGTTTATATATAATAAAGCCTTCAAGTTAAATAAATTGCATATTGATTATTCCAGATTTATGTTATTTATTATATATATAACAGATTTACATAGTATCCATTATTAGCTATAGCGTCTCGTAAATGTAACAACTTTAACAAGTAAAACATTTTAGTAACCAAATCGAGTTCATATAATTATCTCACTCAGTACACATTTTCTACTTGATTTCAAAGAGATCCCTGTGTCTCAGCTGTCCTAGGTCTCACATCTGGTAATAATTTTTTATATGTAAAAAATTGCCATGCGAACAGACGGTTCACCTGATGATAAGTGAATACCGCCGCCCATGAACATCTGCTACACCCGAGGGTTCAAGATGCGTTGACAACCTTTTGAAAATTGGGCTCTGGCTACCTCACTCACCGGTCCTTTACGCCGGTCTTCTGCAAGGTCGTGGTACTTAACCGGACGAGCCTGCCCATTCGTGCAACAGTGTTCACTGTAAGTAGCACGACTTCACAAATAACGGGTGGTAAGTGAGCCCACTTTATTTAAATGTAGTAGAATTAAGATGCTTTATGGCACGCTCGCTCGCGGAGCGATATGTACGTCCAGATGCGTCCAGGTAAGTCACTTAAATCTTGAAACTTAAATTTTTGTAATTAAATATCCTACAAATGTTTTATAACCTTATAAAATTATATACTTACATGTAACAGTTGTTGGAGAACTTATTGTACGATGACAAAGTTATCAATCCTCCCCAGGCTGGGCTCAGAGCGAAGAATATCTGAACAGCCGCGTCCCCCCAGACCTTAAGCGCAGCAAAATTATATATATGAATTATATTGTTCAAAAAACAAATAATAATATGATTTATTCACTTGTCAATATCGAATTAGCTGAAAAAACTAAATTGGTAACTTCTGACAATATCGAAATAAAAAAAAATGTGATGTATCAACGTACATGTATTCTAAATCTGAACATAAGGGTATGCTTTGTACAGAGTGAAGTAGATTATTGATAGAATTCACATTTTGTTAAGGTCTTAGATGTTTTATCGTAAAAATCGGTTTTATCGTAAAAATATCATCACAGGTTCTGTGATGATATTTTTACGATAAAACCGCCGAGATCGAAATCGAATTTTATATGTATACAGCACTAGGCGCGGTCGGCACGACATGTTGTTTCCTTCCACTTTCCTCTATCTGCCGTCATTTCGATATTCACCCGTCTCGCATAGTCTTCACAGATCCATTCAAATCTTTCTCATCTTCCTCTAGCTTTACTCCCTCCAACCACATTCATACTTTGATGAATATGAGGATGATCTCTTCTAGTCACATGCTTTCATCCGTTCTCATGCAGGGCACGTTGCCCATATAATGTCAACCTACCACTCCTTATTTTCTCAGTCACTGACCGTGCAACCATCTGAACATTCTTATCTCTGGCATATGCATTTGTCCTTCATCCGTCTCTTTTGCTATCCAACACTCAGATACCATCATAACGGGTCTCATCGCCTCGGGCGCAGATTTCAGGTTACTCCTTAGACCTGTACCCATTTCATCTAGCATGAATAACTTATATTTATAATGTCTCTCTCAATGTCGCCGTCATTTTGGATCATTGAGACGAGATACTTTAAATCGGAGCAGAACCAAAGGTGCACCATTTACGTCTATATCGATAAAATGTGGATTTGCCACTCAAATCGCAAAACTGATGTTCTGATTTGGTTATGCTAATCTTTAGATCAACGCTTTCCAGTATTTCCCACCACACTTCTAGTCTACGCTAAGGCCCGGCTGCATCTTTTCCAAGAAGCACAACCTCGACGACAAACAGCATATCAGTCCATCCATAATCAAGAGGAAAAGATTAAGAGCTTCAGTAAAAAAAGTAAAACCCTATGAATGTCCCACTGCTGGGCAAAGGCCTCCTCTGTAAAAAGGGTATCAGGGCATATTCCACCACGTGACCTCACTGTGGATTGGCGGACTTCACATATTTTCGAAATATTTCTTAAATATGCAGGTTTCCTCACGATGTTTTCCTTCGCCGCCTAGCACGTGGTAATTCAGCACATAAAATTAAGAACTTCATTGGTGCTGGCACCGGGGATCGAACTCAGGTTGCTCGCGTAAATGTAATTAAAGACGAGCGCCCGGACGCTGAGCTATAACGGCTTAAGGCCCATCCCTAATTTCAGCCTACATTGAGCTTGTTGGTAACGCCCGTTTCGGACCGGACTCGTGACTAGCAACTGCAATTAAAAGTCGTACGGATTCAATCACTATAAAAAAACCTTGAAAATTTTCTCTAAATATCTACTGATGTTTAACATACCTGTGCATTCGCCAGTTGGCTAAAATCAGGTGTGAGGTAGAAAAGAATTCCAGTTGAGGCCCCCGGCAAAGTGACGCCCCGAAAAAATAAGATTACGAGAACCACATAAGGAAACAGAGCGGTGAAATAGACGACCTGTGGACATACAAAATAACTTTTAATACAAGAAGTAGAAAACAGTTTTTATTCAAAGAAGTCTTATTTGCCAATATTATAATTTTGCCAATATAGACGATACTAAAGGCAATATATTCATGGCTTACAGCAAGTTAGCAAATCGTATTAGTACATGAAAAAGTATGACGTCTATTTAAGATTATATGTACAGTAATTATGTTTATGATGTCATATGCATATATACCTTTCCCGAAGATTGGACTCCTTTGCAAAGACAAAGAAATACGATTAACCACGCCGCAAAGAGACACAGCGCCATACCCCAACGTATTTGACCTGTTTCTTCAATCCCCGAGGATAAGCCCAGGACTTTGTTTCTGAAGACAAAGTTTGTTAATACAAATGACAGCGAGTTAGTTAGTACACATATAGAAAACAGAAATAAATTTTTAACAAAACAACTTGTTCAGAAATCGGGAATTTGTTTGTTTGAATCTATTAACAAAAAGGAGACTTATATTTAATTTATCCATCCAAAGAAAACAAAAGGACAACTGTTGTAAAAGAAAAATGGGAAAACTTGCAAGAGGCATGTACTTATAGCAAAACATAAAAAGAGGAAGTTAAAAAAACAACTAACGCTTTCAAACCGTGACCTAGGTTTGACGCGTTTGTCTGGCACGAGACTGTAATGCAATTAGGAAATTACTTGTCTGATTGTGCTTTGACCTAATTAAAAACTAACACTGCTTATGTACACCGATATAATTGTATTTAATAATAGCAGGACATTATTAATAAGCGTCGACATTAACATAATGTTACTAAAAAAAACTTGACACATAACATTGACATCTTTTGCCACCTTCTTAAAATAAAATATTTTAAAACAAAAAACAAAACCATCTTCAAATATCTCACTCACTATTCGTTTTCTATTAAAATGGGAGAGAAACCGAACCCAATGCTTAAATAATTTATAAAATCAAGTTCTTAGGTAACAAAAATAAAAAAAACCCTTAAAATCCTTTTTTGAAGCCAGTTCAAAAAGAATTATGATATCATTGAAACAAAACTATTAACTAATATTAATAGTGTCAAAATTACTCTAAAAGAAAAACCCTACATACTGAAAAGAATAACATAATAAATAACGTTATAAAATCTTTTATTTAATACGCTGAAACATTAAAATAATCAAATATGAAATTGAACGATCAAATACATAATATATTATAGCCTCTGAGCAAGTAACGCATTTTAATGCATTATAAACTTCCCCTTATTTATGAAGATAATGATGATAGATTTTAACTGGAGTAGAGACACGAAACAGTTTCGCTATTGCACGAAGTATGCTGCAAGCATGTGCTTTTCATCTGGCGAGTTTATGTAACTCCTGGGCATACTTTATGAAAAGGTGGTAACGCATCTGCAACCCTACGGGTGTTGGAAATGTCCATAGGCGGTGATTATCGAGGAACTAAACATTAGGTGAACCGCCAGCTCACGTACTACCTTCTTAGATAGAAAAGTTTTGAATTAATATGCTTACGTGAAATATTCCTCGGCGGGGGGTTTCCTAACCGCAACTTCCGCGAGGGCGCTAATGTTCTTGAGGGCTACGTAACTTTGATTGAGGCATTCTCGCAAGTAATAAGTGCCATTCTTCGCTTCACATTCGTCCGCCTCCTCGTACGAATAACAATCTGGAATGGTACATCACGTTAACCAAACCCTAACGTATAATTTCGGTATTAAAAACAGATGTCAATAGAACTCGGTGTCGGTGAAAACACGATTATGTCATCGGTTCTTAGCCTCCATATTATTACAGTCATATTATACACATAAATAATACAGTCTTTTCTAGACATTAAAAACAAATTGTTGAAAATTTGGTTTGTCAATATGTACCTACACTTCTGGATTGAAGCGTTGGAGTGGGTAGCATGTGGCGTTTGATAGTAAATTATGATGGATGTGTGTATGGCATTAGTGACATTACCTTCTCTTAATGTTATATATAATTTAAAAAAAAACTACAAAACACCCTCATCAAACATTTCCTTGATCAACAAAATATATGCAGACTTAACAAACCAATTATAAGATTCATACTTTAGAATTATACTTGTATATGTAATCAATTATTATCGTAATATAATAATATAATATTATTATCGTAATCGATGTCTTAGCATTATTATTCACTCACATTTAGTGCTCCACTCAGCGTTGCAGTTCTGCCACGGTAGTTGATAGAATATGCTTGCGAATGACACGGCCATGTAGTAGATGGTCCATGCTATTATCAGGTTGTAGTAGAGCATGACTATACTTGAAACTATGACCATTCCGTAACCAAGACCGCGGAAGAGGGGGCAGAATCTGTTGTACACGGCGACAGGGCCCAGAGCGGCGTACTGGCCGAAGGACAACTCCATAAACATCAGCGGTAGACCGGCGATTATCAGCATTACCGTGAAGGGAATCAAGAAAGCACCTGAAATAAATATGCGCTCATTTATTACAGACTCTCCGCATCATACAATATGATTAAACCGAGTATGTTGTTTCACGAATGGGAACGTTGGAGCTCGTCTGGAGAAGTAACAAACTGTCATAAAATCGTACCGACGACAGAAAAAGAAAAAAAACACGTGAACTTCTATTCATATGATACTTACATTATAATAAAATATATATATTATAATAAAATATATTCTTACAATACTTTTGCGTGTCTCTGGTGATAATGATAAAAAAGTTAACTTCTTCACCCCTGTTGTTGATGTCGATCGACGGCGATAGTTACTAAACATCAAATAATAATGTAATAAAAGAACATTTCGTTAATTTACCTATCTGTACATACAACTCCGAGGCAACTAAGAACTAAATCTTTCGATTTGTCCTATAATATCATGCCCAAACAAAATGGCATGGAGCGGTGTAATTATTTTGAAGAAATATTTCATATTCGTACTATGCCAATAAGTCACCTTCCAAGATAACGAAAGAAGTGAAGACGGGCCTTAAGACATTGCTTACAGAATCTAAACACAAGGTTTACGGGTAAAAACACACAGTGTGTTTCGCAATAACCATCCTACATATTCTTTAGAATGAAAGTATAGGGTTAGAGATGATAAAAAAAATTACTGCGCGCCATTCAAAGCTAACATCGAGAATAAACTTACAAAAAATTAAAGTATAATTATTCGACTTTTAATCACTCACAAGACAGATATTCTTGAAGATTCATACACACTAATAAAGCATCATAGAAGCTAGAAAAGAAGACACACTAAAGAGTCTATTAATATGGTTTATTCAACGCTCTCTCGAATAATTAAGGAAAAATATATTTTCAGTTTATGTAAGAAGAGAACAACACCAACGTCAAACAACAACCATTCGTCTACTTATGAAGGAAATACCGCTCGAAACATTTTTACGTAAAGAATTTCTCGGAAAACAGTCTCGCTTATTTGTGAAATATGAACAAAAGCTAGCAGAACAAAAACCAGTTAAGTTGAAACAGGAAAAGCTGTGAATGCCCATGGCTTTCAACGTTATGTGGGATTTATAACACTGAATACAGATGGCGAATTCTAAGTAATCGACTTCCAAGTAATCGAATCGACTTGAGTATTTTTTTTTATTTAGGCCATTGTTTGGCATTGATGACTAAGTTTTAATAATTACGAATATCTTTTTATTTATCAAAATAGTTTATGCTTAAAGGAGAACAGAAATTAAACTTACTCAGAGATTGAACATTAATCTAAAACTAAATACACATAAATTTAATTATAAAATAATTTAAAAATATTTTTTTTAATTGCGCTGCTAACGCAACCTGTGTGAAAAGTTGACAAGCGAGCTGGCGATATACCTGGTGAGTATTGAGTTCATAGGCGACGCCCATGGACATTTACTATGAAGAGTTTATATGAAGATTTAATATGAAGAGTTTTACATGTTTGTAATCTATAAAAAATGGGCCTTAGACCTAAATATGCTGAGGAGATTTTCAATATTAAAATTATCATTAAAATTAACAATATACCTTTAAAAATCGACCCTTAAGTCATTAAGGGTCGATTTTTAAATCTCCGTAAATCGCATTCAAAAACATTGAATAAACTACTACTTCACTACGATTCTTCCGTCGATCACAATGTTGACAATGAAAGTCGAAACAAAAAAAAAGACAAAATATCTGAAAATAGGTAAGGACGGATCGATAAACTGGCAGTATGCAGGCTAAAAGGTGTTTAAAAAAGTTGAAATTATTCTAGGAAGGTCCTTGGAACACCATACACGCTCACTGGATTTAAATGGAGATTACGCCATTCCACTAAATCACGCTCATCCTATCCAAATCTCTTACGTAAAATTATATTAAATCATTATAAGTATATGGAATTATATATTATTGGTTTATAACATTATTCCAATGAAATAATGTACTGGTCACGGAAATAGTGTAAAAGTAAATATAGAGCAAGTAAAATAAAACATAAACATTAATGGAAACTAATAGCAATACCATGCTAACTTAGCACAGCGAGTATAATTGACGCTAAGCGCATTAACAAATGAACGTATGTTCATGTTTATTATGAGTGATAATGAGCATAAAGAAGAGAATTCTCGAGGTTTTATGTCGGGATCATGTTATACGCATCTTTGTACAAGGGAAGTACTTCGTACTCAGTGCCGCTGAAGCGGATTTAGTCGGATAAGCTGACTGAAAAACGCTTTGTTTCTCTGTTTCTTATAAAATAAGGTCATGAAAAGAATACTGAAATGAAGCGAAGCTAAAGCTTTCGTAGCAGTACAAGTAGGAAGTAGAAGTAGAGCGAAAAGCGAATATTATTAAGCATCTAATCGACCTCTAAATCTTTATGAAAGTAATAAATTATTAGTTTGTAAGATCCAACCTAAATATCTCTGGATGATACTCAAATAAGTACCTATCTTAAATAAGATTTGTTTTACCACATGCAACAGTAAAAAGTTACGGTAACACGGTAAAACTCAGCAATGCAATGAATGCTACGTCTAACCGGAAAGTCACTGTCTCGTTTTGATAATTGTTTTAAATCACTTTTGAACGTCAACAGTATACCTGTTCTCACACACCGTCAACGTCTCAGAAAAGAACCCGCATAAAACTATAACTCAGAAAGATTAAAATTTGTTAACGTATTGTAATTTGTTAACGTAATTTGGTAACGTGAAATTTGCAGAGGGCGACAGATCCACTGACAACATAAATAAATGCACTTTATAATCTTCATTATCTTTTGACGTTGGATGCTCACATTTTTTAAATTATTTACATTTACGGTAGGAATAATTTAAACATAACGGAATGTCACATACAATTCAAGCAGTAACTCTACGGGTTTTTCCGTTTAATGAAACTTATTGCAGGATATACATATTTCATTTTAGATATAGATTAAATAGAAATATTATATCATAATTAGAAATATTGTATTTTGATAAAAAAAATTATGCCTACTTTAAGTAGCTATGGAGAAAAAATTAAATTCAAGAAACCGTATTTAGGTCAATAAAACTATATCTACTCATAACTGACGATGTTCTTTTGGAGAGACCTACATAGAATTCGGTCGTATAAGTCACGTCATGCCATATATTATTCTCAAGAGTATTTGAAACATGGTTGAGTCCGCTCGGCTGCATATTAAAACATGCATAATATTACTCTCTTTTAATACCTTTTTATTGCACTAAATTCCTATAGTAACGTCATCTGATACCTCGATATTCAAAAAGCGAATGCAACAATTTTTTTTATGTGAAAAGTTGCCAAACGAGCAGCGGTTCACCTGATGTTAAGTGAATACCGCTGCCCATAGACATCTGCTACACCCGAGGGTTTGCAGATGCGTTGACAACCTTTTTGGAAATTGGGCTCCCGCTACCTCACTCACCAGACGAAACGCGAAAGTATACATACTTCCACATTACGCCGGTCTTCTGTGAGGTCGTGGTACTTACCCGGACGAGCCTGCCCATTCGTGCAACAGCCGAGGCTGTTGCGTGGCTCTACCACCGTTGATGATATGAAATACAAATATTATTAAACTTTAGACGTTTCATTAAATTTAAATAATCCCTTATGTATCTTCAAGTACACTTTTAATGTAGTCTAGATTTTAGACCTTTATCTTTGAAATAAATAATCATAGCTGGGATCGTGCCTTATAAATATTTAATACATGCACATTTTAAATTACTATGCAAGAAAATCAGTGTAGAAGTTGAAAGTTGTGCCAATTCACCCCATTTTACTGTATTAATACATGATAGGTATAAACTATACATAAGTATATATGTATACAATATACATATGTATATAATATTTAACAGTAATATTCTAATTGTCATTTGCTTTATACGTTAGGCTTATATCAAACCATGATTTTACGCGTTTATGTTGCGTCGTTATATGTTATTCGTCTATTAGAAGTTTGAAAATTTTCTTCCAGTGTACTCTTGATTTTTAGACGATTCGTTGATCTACTTACTCTTTAAATATTCGTAAAAAAACATAAAGATATGATTATTTTTCAGTCTTGATGAATCTTGGTGCACACAGTCACTTCTGCTGTTGCACGAATGGGCACGTTCGCCTGGGGAAGTACCACCCCACAGAAGTTATGCGATGTCTGGTGTGAAGGGGAAGTATTATACTTTCGCATTTCGTCTATTGGTTCCCAATGCTTCTACATCCCGTCTGGTATTTTGATATCATGGATATGGCGGCGGTATTCAATTTACATCAGGTGAATCGCCTGCTCGCTTGTAAATTAAAAAAAAGTATAAACACTAAATCACTGTAGCCAATAAATATTTGTTGAAGATTAATGTTAAACATTGTTGATTGGATTTAATAAAATATTTATCTGTTTTATCCCTTCATTTTCTCCTCCAAAAATACATACACATTCTAATTTACGTACCTATTTGAGTTCTTACTACTCCTAATTTCAAGAAGGGACCTTGATATAAAGGGGAGGGGAGATTTTCTATAAACATGGCCAAGTTTTGGTGCTTGTACCGAATTAAGACACAAAACAGTACTAAGATGCTTAAGAATACCTCCTCCATTGTTGTAGCAAAGGTACGGGAACCGCCATACGTTTCCCAAGCCCACGCTGTAGCCCAACAGTGATAGCAGGAAGTCGAACCGGCCCGTCCAGTTGCCGCGCGCCGGCTCAGCATTTTCCGCATCGCGTTCGACAGCAAGGGACTTCTTGCACTGCATATCATAAACGCGTGAACGTTATTTTCTAATCAGATTACTTTTCGTCCACTCTCCTATGTTAGCCTAGGATTGCCAACCGTACAAAACATATATTATTAAATTGTGTTTTGGGTTTGCCTACTATGATCTAAAATATATGGTACCCAAAATTACTATGTTTCAAGTGGATGGATCAATCTTCATTTGAAACACCGAAACTTATAAGAAATAAAATCCTCGCGTATAAAATTAGTTGTACATAAACCTTGTTTTTATAAAAATGAATAAGTAAAAAACATAGCAACCTGACTTCAAATCTTGGTGCGGGAACCAATGGAACCAATTTGAAATAATCACGTTTTCTATAGTAAAGAAAAAAATTGTGAGAAGACCTGTCATATTTCCGAAATAATAATAAAAACAATTCGAAGATATGTGAAGTCTGCCTATCCGCAGTAGAGTCGCGTGCTGGACTAATACCCTCTATGCTGAGAAGGCCTTTCTCTAGCAGTAAGACAAATTTAGGTCATACCGAAATCCTTAGAACTGGTCAGTTAGAAATATTGCCAATGAAAATTCTTTTAAATTTTGAAAATACAACTCTTTGGTGAATTTGCGGAAATTTCAAGTCTTCTTATACCTCAAAATTTATCACAAGATAATTTTCGGTCCATGATTCATTATGACTTTCATTGCGATTTTACTCAAAAACAAAGCTATGATAGACCTCGATTGGCATTTAATAATGAAACCCCATCACTGTTTACAATCGCGTAGCAATCTCCGTGATGATCTGCGTGACATCTGAAGATAACATCAGCACTGTGCGACGCATGATAGAGGAATATAAAAGAGCGATCTACTAGCAGATTCGGCCAAGCTTAGGCATTGTTATGAATCAAGTACAGTCAGTACAAAAAATATTACAAGATCATTTAAGCGTCAGGAAGCTTTGTACCAGATGGATTTCCCATACCTTGACCGAAAACAAGAAACGCGAAGATGCGAAGGCATGATTGGTATCTCAAAATATTAGAAGTGTAAAAGTTCAATGGAGGTCACTCTTATACTCTATTTAGTATTGCCAAGATGATGAAAGCTGGATATATTGCTACCAACCCGAAAACAAATGACAATCTCGGTGGTTGTTTCATTTTGAGGTAACTGAGGAGGCAACTAAAGTAAAGAAAGGAAGAAGTCAAGGAAAAACACGATTACCTAGTTCTTTGATCAGAAAGGTTATTTCGCGACAGTCATTTGCAGACATTTGCATTTGGTATGTTAAAGTTTGTTTGTCCTCGAAGCAGGATCCTCCTTCACCACGACAACGCTTCAGCGCAATCCACGAAACGAACAATTGAATAATTGACTATGGCACGTGTAGAGATTATAAGTTAAGTGCCATAAATAAATCAAAGATGCGAGGCGAGCTTTACGAGCCCTAAAGATGCGGTGAGTGCGTTCGAAAATGCCGTAGAAGAGACCTCTAAGGAAGAATGGGCCCCGTGCTTTTCTCAGTGATTCCATCGAATGCGAAGATGTTTAAAGAGGAACTTTCTACATTGAGCCGTTTTATGATTTTCTAAGATCTCTGTGTGACTCACTTATATAGGCTGCTACTTCACTTTTACTTTTTTTAACATATATTGCATTCTTTTCTTTGTCCATAAAATACTGTTATTTTGAAATGTACTCTGTCTATGCCTTAATTTGAAAATTGATGTACAATAATACTAGATATATATAACAAGCCGAAGAAATGTAAGAAATGTTGGCAACAATAAGAACCCAAGTTCGATTCAAAGACCGACCCCTATTAAAACCTACTATCGTTATGGAAGACCCTTTATAAGGAAGTCAATATAAAAGATTTAGTGAAAATGTAAAATAGTGAATGTAATATAATATTACATTCGCTATTATAGTCCTCTGAAAAAAAAATTTCGTTTTCAATATTTATAACTACTTTATTCATATTTGTAATACTGACACGAAACTCTTATTACTGTTATCACAACCTGCTTCTTAAGGCCCTTTTGATACCCTCGACTTATAAATCGCAGCCCTATCATTCCCGACATGTTACATAATAAAAAAGGATAAAACTACCGATTTTATGATTTGTCTATCTTACTATTTTATATAAAAGCTTTGAACGTAATTAATGTTTATATCTGTTTGGCAAGTACCTAGTAGTATTTGTTTACGCTGATTCTTGGATGAACATCAGTGCTGATAAATCGAAGGCTCACAAGTCGGCAAGATTGGTAACAAAGATTCTTACAGGAATGGTAACGCTCAATGTTAGACATTAGGACAGGTCAGGCACGGCTACTATGGGCAAGGTGTGTGGTCCATGTTCACTTTTCACTTTCTAGAAGTATATTTCGGTTCTTAACATTCTGGAAGTATATTTACTTCCTATGCAAAACAATATTTTTTTGTTACAACCATTCTAAAACGTTTATTCCATCCAAAATTTATCGATAACTTGTTTTAAATTAACAATGAAAATTAAAAGACCTATTAAATTAATAAAAAAGAAACAAATCTTAGCATGACTATTAAAGCTAAACAAAAATTTCCAAGGAAAGTATCACAACAACTTAATTTTCCAGACTTTATTCTGACGGATTACGCATTTAATCAACTACGTCTGTATACTTACCTCAGAATATTTCAAATCCATGGCAGGTATGTCCTTGGCAACCGCGGGTATGTGAACCGCTTTCTCCATGTTTGATTAATTTAATTGAAACTATATTAGAAAATATTGGTTTAGAGGCATTTTAAAACAGAATACCGGAGTGCCGCTCGCTTCGAAAGCACTGAACGCCGTAAAGCACATCCCTCGCGCGTAACTCAATCTGAGCGACTACTGCTGCCTTTGATCGTATTATAAATAAAGAGACTCCTCAAATATATACAGGATTCTTATTTAATATCGAGATATAAACAAATAGCAAGGCGTTCGGATTGAACACGCATGAGATCGAAAAAAATATAAAACGCAGCACCGCGCAGATGTCAAGTTTCGCATCGACCGAACTCTGAATGAACATCTAGGTCAATATCAAGCCCCCACCTCCGCCGCACCCCGCGCCCCCCACCCCACGCGAAACGATGTCGCCCTGGCGAAAATCACATGGAAATGTCCTGATCATACCCAACTACATGTTGCCTACCTATTCATAAAAAGTACAGCTGTGACGCGGGCGATTACGCAATACCGATTTCGAACAGTTATTTGAAACATTTTTATCAATAAAAAAATCATTCAATCATCCTGTATATGAATAGAATATAGTATTAAATTTCTTATACAACCCTTTAAAAGAGGGGAAACTAAGTTTCACCGTTGCCAACTTATTAAAGTACAAGTAGTATAGTACTTAACATCTCCGTATGAGTTTACGTTCATGATTGTTTTTCTTTTTAATATTTTATATAACAGGCAACCTATATCGGCAAAATTAAAATCGGAACGGATATTAGGGCGCAAGCAGAAAGCGGGCGGTAGCCTAGAGGCGGAAGGTCGCTTAAACTGGAGCAACGTATTGATTGCTAAGCTTTGCGCGGGTTTGACGACTTCTCTTAAACGGCAAATACACTACAAAGTGTTTTACATAATAAATATTCATAATAATGTTACAAGTTTGGCTTTACATTATAGATGGTTCTTAGAAATTAGAGGAATTTGAAAAAAAAATAGCATTCTACGATAATAATTTAGAAAAAAAGGATTTTTTATGGCATGCGAACTGACGGTGCACCTGATGTTAAGTGATAACCACCGCTCACGGACTTGCAACACCCGTAGGGGTAAGAATAATAGCTCTGCCACCTTTCAATAAAGTGGACGGTGCGTCCTGGTTACCTCACTTATCAAACGAAACGCCGCTCTTGTGTGAGATCGCTATTAGGCTATGAAGAGGCGACAAGTTATCTCCTGACAACCAGTGAGATAAGATCCATCTGTACTTTATCATCATATCGGCCTCTACGAGTCCACTGTTGAACATTTCCATCAACATTCCTATCTCCACCGCCGCATCTCAATGTTAAATAATATAAACCGTTTTGTTTGCTTGTCCCTCTATGGAACCTCTCTATGGTAATATGCATTAAAATAATTTTAGCGGCATCGTACAGATTAGTTGACTTGCGACAGTAAATTGCAAAACAAAATTTCAATTGATAAAAATTTTAATAAAATCTTTAACAACTTACAAACTTCAAACACCAATATAGGAATGTATCAAAATATATACCCACTAAATTATCTATACGTCTTTATAAATTTTACTCTTATCATAATTAATAATACATACATGAACAAAATACATTTTATGTAGGTATATAGGTAGAAAATATATGCGTATCAAATAAAGCCCGATGATTTCGAAAATCTCCCAATTACAACAATGGTCGATAAAATAGATAAAAAGATAATACAAATATAAAAGCTTGATCCATTTAAATGCGATTCAATAAACTTCATACAAATAACACAATCTAATGCATTCCCTTAACAACAACTAAAATCTATACAAATCAAAAAATGGTGAAAATGACATTAAGTAAAACGTGATCCATCCCAAAAATATCCGGTATCCATTCACTTCTTAGCCAGCAGCGTCTTGACGAGGGACTCTAACTTTCTGGTGTCCGCCGCGAACTTGCGAATGCCTTCAGACAGTTTGTCAGTGGCCATTTGGTCTTCGTTCAAGTGCCAACGGAACAGAGCTTCCGTCAGCGATATCTTCTCTATATCGCTTTTGGCCGCAGCCTTTGGGTCTAGAACCTGGAGCATTACATTGGATTTATACATGACACAATTCGATTAAAAAGTACTCTGGATCACTGTTAGAACAAAAAGTACAATATGTTTTAAAATTCAAATTGTATAGTGCTAATCACTTCAATTAAGAAGAAACACTAAAATTTGTAGAAAAATGGACGAAAAGTTTTTCAACGCTGCGGGAATCGAACTCATATCTTCCGGTTTAGCGCCCACCACACCAACGAAAACCTCAATTAAGTTTATCTACTGTTTTTCGGCCTTTTCCAACGACATATCGTACGAGAGATATCGCCATTACTATTTAAAATTTAGATTTTATAGTGATCATTTCTTCAAGAGGAAACATTAAAATTTGTAAAACAAAATGGACGAAAGAATTTTTTTTAAACGCCTCTGCCAATCCCAAATGCCCTAACGAAAGACAAACACTGTTCTGATAAATCGCGACAACTTTGTGTAAGTTTTTCCTGTGGTAGGGCCACAGCAAATCGTTCGGTTAAGTACATCGACCTCACAGAAGACCGGATTGAGTGGAAGTATTGTACTTTCGCGATTCGTCTGGTGAGTGCGGTGACCGGGCCCAGTTTTTTGAAACTTAGCAACGATCTGCAACAAAGTAGATATCTATGGGCGGCAGTAATAACTTAACATCAGGTGAAACACCTGCAAGCTTGCCAGCTTTTCAGAAGCAAATCGCTTTGATTTCACGTCTGTAACGTTCACCCCAAACCTACGCTTGTGTGTAATGTTAAGTGATAAGTTTCCGAGCGCGAGGGTGCGTTGAGAAACTCACTCTGTCCAGTGGTTGCTCGCTGTCGGCCAACTCCTGCAGCAGCTTGGGGCTGATGGTCAGCAGGTCGCACCCGGCCAGCTCCCTTATCTCGCCGGTGTTGCGGAACGATGCGCCCATCACCTGAGTGTTGTAGCCGAACTTCTTGTAGTAGTTGTAAACTCGGGTCACGGACACAACGCCCGGGTCTTCCTTGCCCTCGTAAGTTTTCTTCGTGTGCTCCACATACCTGTTGTGCACCGTTAAATTACATACAAAGAACAAGAACGTCCACTCTGAAGGAATTCATTACATTCAACTAGTGCGACAGTAGCATTGATAAATAATTGCACAAAAATTTATGCTATCTGCTTCTACCATATTGCCTTCACCCGGCTATCATCCCTAAAACATATCTGTAACAATCATACCTTTTGACATTGTTCTATATTGAGTAATTTTTCCTTTTTTTTTATTCGAACTGTTGTCATGACTCGATCTTTTTCCAATACTTGAAAAACGCGAGTTGGATTGTATGCTGTAGTTTTGCAATCCGTTGTTAAAAAAAATACTTTTATTATACAGTAACTATTGAAGACTTTTAAAAATATTGTCACTTATTCGTGACAACATGTTATAAGAAGGTTTCCTTCCTTAAACCTGAACATGATAGAGACAGGTTAAGTTATGTTTCAAAGAGCTCAGTTAGTCGCATATCGTGACAGGAGGAGGAGACACCGTCGATATCGACGCAATCTCAGACCCAGAATCCACATTCATCGAGCTGTTAGGTACAGACATTTTTAGTTAGTAGTTAGTTTTTAGTGTATTTATGAAAATAAACAATAATAATGTATTATTGTACTTCAAGACGATGTTGTTTATTATAATACTTGGAATACGCATAGCGACACTTTACGTGTCTGAGGGGACGACTAGCTCCTCCAATTGGTCTGGCTGCTCACAAAAAGTTTCGAAATAGTTCCCTGAATAATATACAGGGAGGCTTTTCTAAGTGTATCCATTTTTTTTATTAAATTGTCGACAATAATGTTGTATAAAAATGATAAATATTTAAAAGCCAAGCCAGTAATTAATTAATTGCATTCATTTTAACTTATCTCAAAAAGTACGTGATTTATGGGCAACTCGTTTATTTTACGCGTGATCATTTTTTTTTTATTTAAAAAACATTGGCATTACTTTAGGATAATATTATCCTGTGTTGTAATAACGTTTTACAAACATAAACTCCACGTAGACAAACACCCAGATGCGAATCAAGTATCTGTGGGTCACACAAATAGTTGTCCCGTGTGGGTGTCGAACCCACGACCCCTGACGTCGAACCCAATACCTTGGCAACTGCGCCACGGGGTCATCGATATTAATGCTAACACGTTCAATACTAGCACGCCACCTTTAAATAAAGTGGGAACAGCTACCTCACTCAGCATACGAAACGCAGAAGTGAAACACTTCTAACACACTTTAAAAGTGGCAATGCATTTGCAACCCTACGAGTGTTGCAAATGTCCATGGGCGGCTGTTATCACTTAACATCGGGTGAATCGCCAGCTCGTTTGGCACTTTCTTACATAAATAAAAATAACACGCAAACAAGTTCGTTTCAAAAGTATACGACGCATTTATGAATGACTACCGCATTGTCAACAAGTTCTGTTTTTTAGGGAATAAAATGGCAATTTTTTGAAAAACGAAGTTTGTTTTTATTTTAAAAAGCTTTCAAGTGTTTGGTAAAAGTTACCTCCAATGGAGTGTCCGGCAATATCGATTATTAATTTTTAAAAATCTTTTCTAGAACATATATACAAATCAGCACTAAGAACTTAATATAACAAATGGTCGCCGGGCCAAGATAACAGGTACCCCATACATTATTTATTTCTGAGAAAATAAGTAATGCCTGGGGGCCCTGGGATCTTGTTGTAATTGATGAAAGTAACGAACAACAAGATATATTAATTTTTACTCACAAAAAAAATATTGTTACTAAGATTTTTTATTGATTCATTCAACTAAAATCCATACTAATATTATAAATGTGAAAGTAACTCTGTCTGTTTTGTTCTGTCTGTCCCAGATTGTTGTATTTACAAGTGTATTGTATTACTGTCTTGTATTTACAACACTCAAACATCCACAGAATAATTTTCCTAGTGTGGGAGTACTACTTAAGAAAATTAAAGAAATAAGTTATTTTTCTATTATACAGCGTGTCGTTACCAACGCGATAATAAATGAACACACATATAGAGGATAAATTTTTAAAATTGTATTAAACATTCTTCAAACATCAATATTTACAGAGTTATTAAATTTTCCGAACAAAGAATTTTAGAACACCCTTACGTATAAAACTGTAACGTAAAGTTCATTTGTAAAGGTCACAAAGCATATGAATGGGTTGAATGAACTTAAAAGAGACAAAACATACTGTTAGAAGGAGAGGCTTGTAATGCGACGCTGTGGCGCGAGTTGTATAGGATGTTACAAATTTTGTTTCTTTTTTACTTAATTAGTTTATTTGAAAAATATTTTTTTTAAATTATGGATTTTGTTTAATGTTAATTTTTTTTATGATTATTGGCAAGTAGTGTTAGACGTGTGTTCATTTATTGTCGCGATGGTAACGACACGCTGTATAAAGGAAGCATCTAGTCTGCCACCAGTAGTCATTGAATAGAAATGAATATACTGTCACTAGTGGTAAGTTAAGACATAATGTTATTCTGCTTTAAAGATAAATTGTTTGATTTATTATTGAGATACATAATAAATGTACCATGTAGAGGAAATTATTCATGGGATTCAAAGTCATTACTCATGGTTATGTCAGGCATGACTTTGAATTTTTCCATTTTTTCCACAATGACTTGAATTGTTTACATAAATTATGATATAAATCACATTCACATATTCCTGACTTTAACTAAAGATTTGATAATAACAAGATACAGATCTTTAAATTGAAATTTTATTGTACTAGTATTTACTACATATTTGATACCTTCTTTAGTACTTACGTATTAACGCCACCGCAGTAGAATTGAGAATCGACACAGAGGGAATCCAACTCTGATAGATTAGGTTAGAAGCTCTGCTCCCGCCTGAACCTTCGTGGTTAGGATATTTTTTTTATGACCACCAAGAAATACAAGCAGAATTGACAACAAAAAAATGGCGGATTTCTATAGTAAAAATCACACTATTTCATTATTTATTTTTTCGAAAACTATAAGCGACCGCCGAATTCTGCTTGTTGATACATTCATTTGTGATTTTTCTCTATCGTTAAAAATTTATTTTAATTGAATTACACAAGTTAAAGTTATTAACATTTAGCCTAACCTAAACCGCCAAATCTGTAGCTGCGGTGGCGTTAATACGTAAGTACCCCTTCTTTCCATGTACTGAAATACTCACCAATCCAGAATGCGCCCAACAAATGGTGATATAAGAGTGACATTTGCTTCAGCACAGGCAATAGCTTGATACATTGAGAAAAGTAGGGTTAGATTACAATGAATACCATGCTTCTTCTCTAGTTCTCTGTAAGAAAATAGTGAATTTTTTATATTGAAATACTTGTTAATTATTAATCTTTTAACTCATATATCAAAAATAAGAGAGTATGTCCAAATATATCAAGACAAAGTACAAAAATATCATAGGCTACTGGGAATCTTACATATTAAAATAAAATTCTAAGCAGATGTTACAAATAAAGCAATACATACTTTGCCGCCTGAATGCCTTCCCATGTTGAAGCTAATTTGATCAAAATCCTCTCTTTCTTAATACCTTGTTCAGCAAACATACTGATCAGTTTAATAGCTTTTGCCATACTGGCATCCTTGTCAAATGATAATCTGAAAAATAACATTCAACATCTTTAAAACATTATTTAGTAATAAAACTACATAGGTATTTATTTATATCAGCAGTAGCAATATTGAAATTATTGGCAATACAATTAAAAAATTTATTACTTTGCTAAAATTTGTAGTTCACAGCCAAAATCTATGAGGCCTTAATAAATACTTTAAATTTACAATCTTCTTACTATTTACTGAAGAATAAAAGGATTGTAAGTCCATCAATATCATAACAGAAGTCATTATTAAGTCAATAAATAAATATATTTAAATATTTCCAAAGTTTTAAGCTTTAAGGATAATAGAGATTAAATATCATTCTATCTTAATACATATAGATGTGGCCTTCAATATGAATTTCTATACTTTCATTTCATTAATTTGGATTACCTGGCATCCACCTCCACAGAAACTCTCCCAGGAATAATTTTAAGAATCTCACAACCAAACAATATGCTAAGCATGTCCAAAATTTCAGTAAGCTGCTCTTCAATACTCCTGCAATAGTTTATAAAAATATGTATGAGCTAAAGTATTAATTCTTATTTTAATATAATAGTTCTACTAATATGACCACATTTTTTTTACATAAATGAATCCAATTCTGCTTACCCTCCACAATCTTTTCCATACTTTATAGCTTTGTCCAACAAATGCTGATACTGTTCCATTCCAGCAGCTGATAGAATCAAACTAGGATTTGTTGTAGCATCAGTAGGTTTATATACCTTCATAGCTAGAAAAACATAAATCATCTCAATGGGATATAATAGATTCTGCATGAGAATTTATAATAAATGAAACCATTGAAATCAGTTATAATAAATTGATCAGTTATTATAAAAAAAATTATGAAGCTAATTAAATACTGGAAATAAATTCATGTAGCACTATCACTAGCATATTATAAGACTAATGACGTCATGGAAACTGCTATGGCCTAATGGTGTAGAACGAATCTGCAGTTGAGGGTTTGAATCCGAAAGAAGAGAGCCGAAAACTGAAAAAAATCTAACTCATTCTGCTATTATAAAGGTTTCAGTACTAATAAAAAAATGTATTTAAATAAAACAGTTAATTATTCTAACCTTCAAAATCTCCGGTATCAGCCACCACGGTGGAAAATTGTTTTAAATGATCAAGAGCACTCATTTTAGAACGTTTTGCCATTGGTTCACTACTCATACTGATCAAATCAAGTGATCAATGGTTTGTTAAAAAAAAACTGATATAGAGAAACACAACTAGCGCGTGAACATTAAAAAAATTATCTACTCCCTGAACGCAAACGCAAGCGTCAGCTAGTGCTGAATAACTTTAACTTGAAGGTGACCTCGCAAATGCAAAGTAAACGTAATTCTATTCACTCCTTAGTGATAACCTCAAGTTAATTTTTTAATTAATTTAATCGATCGTGTCGGGGCATAATCACAAAAACACCAAAGTTTTTTTTTTAATCGCAATATCTATCTACACTACAAGTAAGGCTAAGGTGTTTACTTAATTAAAACTTAAAAGTACATTATTAGAAAATTAACATAAAACATAAAATCCATAGAATCGAATAAGGAATATATCGATATTTTTGGCCGATATATTTTGATCCGATATATCGATATAAAAAATTGAATATCGAAATCGTATCAAAAACGATAGTTATATTTAAACTGATTCAATGCCGTAAAAGATAAAAATGAACGGAAAAAACTAGTATTGTGGCGGATGCAGAGTTGCATTTTGTACTATAATTATGGTATTTAATACTACAATTTGATACGTCGTAATATATACTATCCATATCGTAGGTACAATATAGTTTATAGGTGTTACAAATGATAAATATTGAACTACATATTATGTTAATTTGTAAAGCATGCAAAATATTAATGGCATTATTATTTAAAAAGTTACTTTAATTTAATATATAAATAAAGTCAACCAAAATTTAATTATTATCAAATTCTCAATAATTAAATGTCACATAATGTAATATCGAGTTTCCATAAAAAAGTTATTTGACGTTATAAAAATTATTATCATTGAATCACATAACTTCTTTATATTGTCGTTCAGCATTTTCATGGCAACAACTATTATTTTCATGTCAGACAACTATTACTAAATTCTGTTTATCTAGGCCTGTCTTTTAGGACTCCTTTTAGGGTTTCTTTTTGACCTATTATTTACCTCGTTTTAAACAATTTTTTATGTTTTTTACAAAGTTACGTTTTTTAATTGGTTATTTTTTTTATTCGATTTCGAATAGGCTATAGAAACTGATTTATCTTACTAATTAAGCTGTTTGTTTTTTTCCAATTAACGTCTTGATAAATGAAATACCTAGAAATCTAGATTAATAAAAGAAATTTGATTAAAGTTTAAATTTAAATTACGTAAAACAAAAATTTAATATTTTGGCTCCAAATCTTAAAGTAGTTAACAGTAATTTACCTTTTAGGTTCTCCAATTTTTATGAATCTATATATATTGCTAAATTCAATTACTAAATTTAAAAATTCTGCTGACCGTCTCCTTGAACTTCTTATGATACTGAAGTTAGCTGACGTCTAATAATATTTGAAATTTTTTCCAACGATAAATTATAAAAGAAAATCTATAAAAAAATTCTTTGAGTTTTAAATTTCTACATGTGCAATTTTTTGTTTCCAATTTTTAATTTGTTGAAAAAAGATCCAAAAATTGTTAATTGTTTGTTAACATCATGGTTATACACGTTTCACACTGATGGCTTAATAGTATTACTAATTAGTATTTTCATGGTATTGGCGGTCTTGTTACCTGGCCATCTAATCTATATTAAAAAAGTATTATCGTGCACGCATCTAGTAACACCAAACCAGAGTTGCGTTAAAATATTTAGGAAATTGATACGAACTCGATAGTCGAAAATAAATATCGAATATCGATATATCGGGAATACGTACGCGTACTATTAGGCATTTATGAAAGAAAAATAAACTTGACGGGGTGTTCCCGAAAATAGTTTCATTGATAAAGATTATTTATAACCCGTGGTAATAATTGACAATGATACCAAGGTAATATCCACTTGGAATTGTTTAAAAACATTAGAACGTTGTTACAACCCCATAAACTATTTTTAATGTTGGATTGGCATTTATATTGTTCATTTGTGTAAATTAACGAAGTTATAGTATTTTTTTGTACTATCCTTAGATATGTCTATTATATATATGATTAGTAGATATATGATGGTAAAGTACGAAGCACGAAATATGTATGGTATAATTATTATAGTACAAATACTATAATTGTAGTACAAAATCCAACCCTGGAAGCGGGCGATACAAATCGTATATAGATACGAAAACTGTATATTGGTTCAATATCTAAAAATCCGATATACCGAATACTCGCTCACTCGTTGTGCCTATACGAATCGCGATTGTATATGATACGCGTCGACCGCTTGCGAGCGACATAGCGTTTGACATACAAGTATTACACTAGTTAGAGCGGTATGACAATGCATAATAATCCAATCCAATCCAATCCAATCAGCCTTTTGCAGTCCACTGCTGGACATAGGCCTCCCCAAGAGTACGCCACAGAGTACGATCTTCCGCTTTCCTCATCCAGCCACTACCAGCGACCTTTCTCAGGTCATCGGTCCACCTGGCAGGGGGACGTCCAACACTACGTTTTCCGAGACGTGGTCTCCATTCGAGAACCCGTCTGCTCCAGCGCTCATCGGTTCTACGACAGATGTGGCCAGCCCACTGCCACTTCAGCTTGCTACACTTACGGACTATATCGACAACTTTGGTCCTCTGCCGAATAATTTCGTTTCGGATTTTATCCCTTAGCGAAATACCGAGCATAGATCTTTCCATAGCTCGCTGAGCGATATGTAATCGGTGGGCCAGCCTCACCGTCATGTTCCACGTCTCGGCCCCGTTTGTCATGACTGGCAGGACGCACTGATTGTAGACCCTGCTTTTTAGGCATTGTGGTAGTGGCGACGAGAAGATATAAAATGTAAATTATAAGATAAATTCATAAATTAGTTTCATATATAAATTAAAACTTCTTCATCAATAAAATAATTTGTTTTCAGGAATCTAACAATAACACATTATCACAACATAATTCTTCTTGTGTATAAATTATTCCTTATGGGTTTTTTTTTATGTGAAATGTTGCCAAGCGAGCAGGTGGTTCACCTGATGTTAAGTGAACACCGCCGCCTATGGACATCTTTGCAGCTGCGTTGACAAGCTTTTGATGATTGGGCTCCGGCTACCTCACTCACCAGACGAAACGCGAAAGTATTGTACTTCCACTTGACGCCGGTCTTCTGTGTGGTCGTGATACTTACCCGGACGAGCCTGCCCATTTGTGTAACAGCCGAGGCTGCTCAGTATATTATATTTAGAAATTATTACCACCGGGGAATGGGATCGGGCCCATATTGCAGCCCATTTCTGAAACGACTGACGATCCGATTGGCGTGGGGAGTAGTGAACCTGCCTCTTGCGCCAGAGGGTGTGGGTTCGATCCCCACTACTGGAAAATATTGTGTTATGAACATAGTGTTTTTGCAGTGTCTGAATCTTTATATTATGTATTTATTTACAAAATAAAAGTATGTTTAAGTATGCTTATCAGTTTTTAGTACCCATAGTACAAGCGTTGTTTAATTTGGGACTAGAAAATGTGTAAAAATGTGCCCTAAAATATTTATATTTATTTTATTTAAATGAATTATTCACTTTATTTTTCTTAATTACCAATCTTTGCCTTTTAAGAATATTATATGAAAAGATATACAAATTATCTATCCAGCATTTACAACATTAAATCTATCTAAAATTAGATATTATCTAATAAACCTAACGCCATGCGGCCAAGTGCCACGAATGCTAGCTGCATTTCCTCGCTGAATATGCTTAACCTTTGTGGGACAAAAGAAACAGCTCTCATGTCACCAAACACGCCGTTAAGCTTAGGACGTAAAAATTTTTCGATGTTTGAGGAACAAAAGGCAGTCGCGGATTTACAAATATGCCGCCAATAGGCTGTTCAGTTTTTGCCACCCCTACTGACCTCTCAAATTCGATACCCTAGTTCGCAATCATATTAATTACATTTATTCTGTCAATAAAAATGCTACTTTACGATTTGTGCTCCATCATCTTCAATACGTCAGTTTTTGTAGGGTTCCGTATCCAAAGGGTAAAACGGGTACTACTTTACTAAGACTCCGCTGAAGACCCTATTACTAAGACTCCGCTGTCTGTTCGTCTGTCCGTCCGTCACCAGGCTGTATGTAACCGTGATAGTTAGACAGTTGAAATTTTCACAGATGATGTATTTCTGTTGCCGCTAGAGAAACAAATATTTTTAAAAGGACTAAATATATATTTAAGTACGGCTCCGATACAACAGATATTATTGTTTTTGCCGTTTTTATAGATAATGGTACGGAGAACCTTTCGTGTGTGAGACCGATTCGCACATGGCCGTTTCTTGTTATAAGAATGATTTTGAACTAGGGTTTCGTTGTGTTGTGTCAGTTTCTAGATTTTTTTTATACCCCACTATTTAGTGAAGATTGGAAGCAAAATAGTTTTAGGTATATTTCCGAGATGAAAAAAGTCAATCATGTTCTAATTATAAAAGGAGGTATGCCTTAAAAATGCTGTAATTTTATTGTATACTGATTATTATAAAAATACTTAAAAAGTTTCTTTAAAACAAAAATTTTAGGCCAAATTTGCCGCCCCCTAAAATCTGCCGCCCTAGGCATGGTTACTCAGCCTACTGGTAAATCCGCCACTGACAAAAGGGATTCCCCTCATTTTTTAAATAGTATAAGTGCCATAAAACGAGGCTATAGAAAATTCCTCGAAATTAAAAATTAAATAAACTCGAAAAAAGTGGTCTCCACAACTTTTCCTATATGGGAGGGGAGGGTATTACCCCTCCATTTTTTATTCATCACAGTAAATGTTGAAAACAGAGTATTTTGACATACGCAACAGGATAAGCCACATAATTGAAGTTTCAGTTGTTTGAGAACATGACTCTGCAAAGATTTTTGGTAAACTGAAATCCAACAATAAAGACATATGGCAGCAAGAAGAAAGATATTTTAGACAAAGAGAATAACCTTCCTCTTTAATAATTTTAAGGGTACCGAAACTATAACAATACAGACAAGAGATTCAGCCACACTGCATTATTGGTCGTACAAGTGTAGGTGCGCGTTTCGCGAGTTCCTGAGCGTAATATTAATAGGAAGCTCACTACCCCCCCGTTTAACTATATATACATATATGTATGACCTTAAGACGTCACGAATATAAGGCGGCCGGTCAATAACTAATCGAAACTATATTTATTTAATACGCCATTGTTCAGAAGAGCCTCGATACTTTTCCGACCACAAAATGTAATATGTCTAATTGTTTTTAACTATGCAGATTCAAGAGCCATTGGACACAACACAAAATACAAGTACATTTTTATTTTCAATAAAAATGACTGCAAATATCTCACTCACATAGCATTTTCTATTCTGATGTATTTCCGGTGTCCAAGCTCCAATGTCAATGAAAATAATGTGCAATAAAATACGCCCTAAAACTCACTAAACACAAACCAAAACTTCTTACTGAGGAAAGTTGTAAAGGAAGCTTTGGTTTGAATTTACCTCCTAAAAATCTTCCTGTGTAATTTTTTTTCTTCCATAAGAAAATTCCTAAGTTTCCATCCGTGGTTATATAAGCTAAAACAACTTTTGTTTTGACAGTTCATTTTTTCACGTAACAGATAAATAAAAAAAATATATCCACTAAATAATCTGTGCTTCTAGAAAATTCGGGTCCTTCTAGACGAATGAAATATACTGTTACGCTGTCTGTAGACCACTGTCTTGCGATTTAACCGGCGTTCTTTTTGCGATTGATTGACTGATTGTCATACGAAGACAACGTGTTTTGTGTGAACTGATTGTGATTTACAAAAAAATCCCCAAATTTAACTTGTTTATCATAAAAAATGGCTGCTATGTCCGTTATAGGTATTGATTTCGGCAACGAATCGTGTTATATCGCAGTAGCAAAAGCGGGTGGCATTGAGACAATAGCCAATGATTACAGTCTTCGGGGTACTCCGTGAGTAATATTCTACAAACCTTTTTACCTTAGAAGTCTTGTGACCTTAAGGTTATGCATCACATTTTATAACTTGGTGTTAGGGGTTAACTTTTCCAATTTACTAAATTTATTAATCGAACAACGTCATAAATAGCCTTAAAACATCGTCCTATCTTTAAATAAATATCCCCGTGCACGTAGAATGCGTCAAGTACTGTATTTTATTTTTTATTGCTACCATATTTTATTGAACCTAGCGCAGTGACTAAGCTTTTTTTAAGATTGCTGAACTTAAACAATATAGATCCTAAATAAAAACCACATGCAAGTCAAATAACGATTAAAAAAGATGTTTCTTAAATTTTTAGATCATGTGTCGCATTCTCACCAAAAAACCGAATATTGGGAGTAGCTGCAAAAAACCAAATGGTGACAAATATGAAAAACACCGTATTCGGTTTTAAAAGGCTTCTGGGACGAAAGTTTTCAGATCCACATGTACAAAAAGAATTGAAACACTTCCCATTTAAAGTTGAACAGAAGGGAGATGGGGGAATCGGTATTAGGGTCAATTATCTTGGTGAAGATAATGTATTTAGTCCAGAACAGGTACTGTAATATTTTTGACTAAAAATATTTTATTCAAACAATAACTTTTAAAATTTTCTAGAGTATACATGTACATATAGGTAAAAGCATAACATATGCAGCCTTATTTGACATAGTAGACCTTGGCACTAGACTTACTAGAAGCACTTGTAAGAGTTTACAATAGTTTATCAATTGTAGTTCATGTTTACTAGGAACATTAAATTTATTGGGAGTATTTTATATATATGTGAACTATTACCTCCCCAGATTACTGCAATGTTGTTTACAAAGTTGAAGGACATTGCAGCAACTGCATTACAGACACAGATCAATGATTGTGTTATTTCCGTACCCAGCTATTTCACAAATGCTGAAAGAAATGCATTGCTTAATGCTGCTGCAATATCAGGTAAGATTACTGTTGGGATTTTCTAGAAAAAATTTTTAATTTGCAAGTTGAGTAACAATTACTTCTTTTAAAATTTTTTTAGACTAGTTTTAATATACATTAACTAAACAAATAATTAACTTGATAGGTTGCTATTATATACTATATAATATTTCTCATATGCGAAGAACTTCATCTATAATTAGCTTATAACTATTCTTGCCTCTGTCTTGCCTTATGTGTGTTGTATTATTTAAAATATAACATAATTTTATTGGTATCACATTGCTTTATTAATATGTAATATACAAAGAATGATGTCAAAGGCATAGAGGACTGATAACAAATTTCAGTAAAGCATGAGAAGTTATTGAAATTTTATGTTTTAGGTCTTAATGTTTTACGTCTTATGAATGAAACAACAGCAACTGCTTTGACATATGGTATATATAAACAAGATTTGCCAGCTCCTGAAGAGAAGCCACGAAATGTTGTTTTTGTTGACTTTGGTTATACATCACTCCAGGTTAATATTAAAACAAATTTAGTTATATTTATTTAAAAAAATATAATAACAGTTCTTCTGTTTTATAATCATATTTATATTTACTTTGTAGGTCGCAGCTTGTGCTTTTAACAAAGGCAAACTTCGTGTTCTGGCTACTGCTACAGATGCATACTGTGGTGGAAGGGACATTGATATGGCATTGGCAGAATACTTCTGTCAAGATTTCTTGACACGATACAAACTGGATCCCAAAAAGAATCAGAGGTATAGACAATATATCTTTTATTTTTTTATTTTCTAATTTTCTAATTCAATAATCTTAAAATGAAAATTAGTAGTATTGTTTTATTTTATCCCAAACATTTGAAGATAACACTCAATTATTTCGTTATTCCACAGAGCGTTTTTACGGCTACTCCAAGAGGTTGAGAAGTTGAAAAAACAAATGTCTGCAAATAGTACCCGCTTACCCCTTAACATAGAATGTTTCATGGAGGAGCGTGATGTATCTGGTGATATGCAAAGATCACAGATGGAACAACTCTGTAGTGAAACTTTTACAAGGGTTGAGAGGACTTTGAGGGCATTATTACATAATGCAAGTGAGTGAACATTGACATACCATAATAGGAAACCTAATCAGTAAAACTGTTATATTAAAAAAAATTATAACTAATCATATATTGTAGAGTTGAGACCAGAAGACATCTATGCAGTTGAAGTTGTTGGTGGGTCTACAAGAATTCCTGCAGTAAAAGCCTTAATTGAACAAGTGTTTGGAAAACATGCTTCTACTACTCTGAATCAGGTATGTTTAAAGTGAAGTATGAGTTAATATACTCACTGTTGTGTCTCAATATATTTATTGTAATATTTTGTATGTTAAAAATAATATTAATAGTTATCTAAAGAATAGTGACAGACATAAACTAAATACTAGAAATAAGGATAAACTAACTACGCTATTGTTTCGTCTACAAAAAGTAAACAGGTCGTTCATGGGGCAAGGTGTGCGCATGTATAATAAAATCCCACAGTCGATATTAAGTCTGCCACTTGATGAATTTAAACGAAAAATTAAAAGTAAACTTATGGCTAAAGCCTATTATTCTATTGCCGAATATCTTGACGATGCCAATGTGTGGGGTTAATACTGTTGATACTCACATAGGCTAAAACAAGACTATTGTACCTGTACTATTATATTGTAAACTGATTTTTTTAAAAAGAGCAACTGTTGAGTTTCTTGCTGGTTTCTTCTCAACAGAAACTGCTTTCCGAACCGGTGGTAACTTACGAACGTGTTAATTTCTTGTAAAATTTTGACGTTTCATAAGAACGCGCAAGCGTCTATGTGAATAAAGATATTTTATTATTATTATTATTATTATATATTGCGATTATGAGAAACTGATTTAAATTGAAATGAAATTAGACCAAGGTTGAGAGTAACTCATATATTTTGTTTTCAAATTGAATAAACTAATGATAAGTGAAAAAATTTTTTTAATATCAATTTAGGGTAAATTTTATCAAAAATTATGTTAACATGTAGAATCTATATAGCTACTAAAATCTTACTAAAATTCCCTTTCTTATTAGATTTATTAATATAAATTATAAATAAATAAATATGAATTTTAAAGCTTTTTATAGTGCTAATCTCTGCACTTAAGATTGAACATTAAAACATGTAGAAAAAGTACGAAAAGATTGTCGCCGCTGTGGGAGTTCTCTCGTTCGAATTATCGTTGTAAAACAATATTCGAAATTGTTTGTATGCTGGAAAGGATATAACAATAGATGCGCCAAGCATTGCTTCAAATGCTAAATAACAATATAGAAAGAAGGCGTTAAGATTTTCATCGCTGTGGCTATCAGCCGTTTAGCTCAGTGGCTAGAGCGCCAGGCCGCGAATGCCGAAGACGTGGGTTCGATTCCCACAGCGGCGACAATCTTTTCGTACTTTTTCTACATGTTTTAATGTTCAATCTTAAGTGCAGAGATTAGCACTATAAAAAACTTTAAAATGTATAAAAGCAATGGCGACATCTCTCGTTCGAATTATCGTTGTAAAACAATATTCGAAATTGTTTGTATGCTGGAAAGGATATAACAATAGATGCGCCAAGCATTGCTTCAAATGCTAAATAACAATGTAGAAAAAAGGCGTTAAGATTTTCATCGCTGTGGCTATCAGCCGTTTAGCTCAGTGGCTAGAGCGTCAGGCCGCGAATGCCGAAGACGTGGGTTCGATTCCCACAGCGGCGACAATCTTTTCGTACTTTTTCTACATGTTTTAATAAATAAATATGACATAATTATTTCATTCACAGTTCTAGGGTGAAAGAAACTTGAGCCATTGGAATTTCATCTTCTTACAAGTTGTACTTTCAAATATTTTATTTTGTGACAATATTGTTATAAGTTAAAAAACGTATATCATTATGATACATTTGAATTGATGAAAAAATATGTAAAATTAGACTATAATTTGCCTGCCCGCTCTTCAGGATGAATCAGTGGCACGTGGCGCAGCCTTGCAGTGTGCCATGTTGAGTCCCGCTGTTCGTGTGCGTGAATTCAACATTGCCGATGTCCAGCCATATGCCGTGCGCCTTACTTGGGACGCGGCGCGGGGCGAAGACGGCGATATGGAGGTATAACATAGCTTCTGTTTATTTCGTCTTTTGATAAAAGGTCTGTATGGATTTTGGTAAAAATCTAGAATGAAAAACTACTGTGGTGATTTTGAATTGGTTTCGGTTACGTTTCATTATTGTTTAAAAATAATAGTAATTTATTTACTACTGGTTAGCTGGCTATGTTTGGTGGGGATCACGACTCCCACACAAGTGAGGGTGTGACCCACACCTTTTTTCCCAAGGACTGTTAACGGCTGGCAGGTGGCTAGTCGTAAAAAAACATTAACAATACTATTCTCATGTTCTGGTGACCCCACCTAGGTGGAATAAGGTCTGGAGACTTGTATTTGTATAACTGATGTTACCTTGAGACTATTAAAGCTTCATTGCCCTCCTCAGGGGGTGGGGCCGCGCATGTGCTCATGCGTGCGTTAATTATGGCATGTCGCCTACGGGCCATCGAGGTACGGTGCGGATCGTGACCGTTGACTGTGCTATGTGTTGAAGTTGGTGGCTGGGGGCGGTGAGTACCCTGGAAGGCGGGCGGCGGGCACATGTAGTGTACGCGATGGGTTGGTTTTTCCGTGGCTCGAAGGCGAGGACGAACTATGGTGTTTGTTTGAACCCCCGACGGTGCGTCCGACGTACTTAACGTCCCCTTCCTCGACCGGGTCGATGAGGACGTTGCGCGGGCGACGCTTGTTGACGTTCGTTGACGACAGGCCTAAAGACGGGAATATAGGCCTGGAGAAAGATAGACTAATCTGGTCTTAATCGCCATTTAAACTTAACTACTATGTCATCATTCAATATTACATTACATTGTGTTTCAGGTCTTTCCAGCATTCCATACTGCCCCATTTTCGAAAATGTTGACATTCTACAGAAAGGAACCTTTCTCAGTTAGCGCATATTATTCAGACCAGGTTCCATATCCAGACTCTTTCATTGGTATAGTTTTAAAATTTTTAAAAAGAAAAATTAGTATGTTGAGTGACACAAAATATATGAAAAAATACATTTATTTTTTATGTAGGTCAATGGAATATCAAAGATGTTCAACCAACACCAGAAGGAGAATCACAGAAAGTTAAGCTCAAAGTGAGAGTGAACATCCATGGTATCATCACAGTGGCCTCCGCATCTCTTGTTGAGAAGAAGCAGGATTCTTCTCAAAATGACAATGTGGACATGGAAAATGTCAGTGAGACCAATCAGAACAACCAAGAGGCTCCAATGGACACTAATGGTGGCACGCAAGAACATCAACAAAACGGGCCTGAAAACCAAGAGGTGAGAGAAGATGAAATGAAGGGAGAGCCGCAACAAAAACAATCGTGGACACAGAGAGTAGGACAGTGGTTCAGCGGGGTATGTTTCGGTAGAGCGTTTGTGGAGTGTTTGTGATGTTTGTTGCCCCCTTAATTACATGTTGTGGCTTTTTAAAATTATATTGTCATAAAATACATGAAAATTCTGTTTTTATATAAACATAGGACAAAAGCTATTATTTAACACACAGTTGTTGCAATTACCTGCATAGAAAATTTTCATCAATCTGCAATAAATTTTTATTTATTTTTTCTGAAATTTATGGTTAAATACTTTTCATATATCAATATATAATTTGATAATATAAAATACTATTGTTTAATGTGAAACTCAATTTGTATTTTTGAATAATCTATTTTTAAATGAGAAATTTAAAAAACGGCAACAAACATCACAGATTTTGCATTGTCCCCACTCTCTTCATGAGGCCCCATTTGCACAATATCCTCCTAGGCCTTTAAATTCCTTTTGAAGATGTGTGTTTTGTTTGAAGTTTTTGATGAAGTTACTCTGTGTCCACGCATGTTTTTATTATACCTGCAATATTTGATTTATCCTTTATATTTCTTTATATATCTTTATCAACAGTGATCGTGGGACATGTAAGGTCTATGATGCTATTAATTTATATTGCTTTTGATTTTGTGGTGTAGGTGCAAATGGGTCATCGCTTCACTTGGAAATTTGTAAATGCTGTTTTGAAAAGTAATTTCATATGGGTTGTATATTTGGAATTATTCCATGCTGAAGCGGTGGTGGGGATTTGCTTTGTCTAAAAGTTGTGAACTTGTGGTGTTTACTTACAGGAAAATAATGATGATAAAAAGGACAAATCCAAGGATAAATCTAAGAAAGTGCTTGTTAAAACTGTTGAGCTACCAATAGATGCACGCACCCATGGATATTCACAGCATGAAATTAACTCTTACATGGAGCAAGAGGTAATTACTTTACAAGGCTTGGTTTAATAAACAAAATGTATATTATTTTTCCATTCCTTGATATAATTATCAATGAGTTTCACTGATAAAAAATTTATTACTTTGGAATGGGACATAGTCTAGTATATTCATTTTTATTTATCTGAATTAACTTATTTTTTTTTTACAAAATAGATTATACCATGTATTATTTTTATTGTAACTATACATTAAAAACTAATTTGGATCTTTAATCCAGGGTAAAATGCAAGCTCAAGACAGACAGGAGAAGGAACGTGCCGATGCTCGTAATGCTCTAGAAGAGTATGTCTATGAGTTGCGTGGTAAGCTTTCCGAAGGAGAGACACTTCATGACTTTGTGGCCGATGAGCAACGTCACCGCCTTGTTAACCAACTTGATGGGCTTGAACAGTGGCTTTATGATGAGGGAGAAGATCAGAACAGACAGGTAAATTAATGAACTAGAACAGAAAAATGTACTACAATTACAGAATGGACAGTTTTTTTTATGTATACATATGGCTGATTGCCTCACCGACGAAAATCTTAATGTCTTTTATCTACATTGTTTTTGTTGCATTTTTAGAAATGCTTGGAGCATCCATTATTATATCCTTTCCAGCATACAAACAATTTCGAACATCGTTAAGATTTTCGACGGTGTGGCAATCAGCCATTTAGCTTAGTGGCTAAAGCGTCAGGCCGCGAATGCCGAAGACCTGGGTTCGATTCGTACATCGACGACAATGTTTTATTACTTTTTCTACAATTTTATGTTACTAGATCTTTCATATAGTTTTTAAAGACTAATATTAAGTATTATTTATATAAAATATAGCCCATTGTGTATAGTGTAGTTATTAGTAAAAGGTTACCTAAGATAATTATATCTTAATACTTTAGAGAATTTATGAAGACTGTACTTTATTTTACTATAATCCCCTTTCCATCACACTATGTATATTCTAACAGGTATACAGTGACAAACTGTCTGAATTGCGAACGGAAGGGGAGCCTATCAAGCAGCGACGCCTTGAGTATGAACTTCGACCCGGTGCACTAGACGATTTTGCCTTAACCATTCAATTAACCAATAAAGCTGTAGATCAATACAGGTAAGTTTTACTTGAAACAGTGGTTTATTTTTATTCTGTTTTTGGTTATAATATTATATAATTTATTAGACTGGGTGCTATCTTTTAATTCATTATACTTGAGCAACCTGAATTCGATCCCCAGTGTCAGCATCAATGAAATTGTTAATTTTAAGTTATTATCTCTTATCACATGCTCCATGGTGAGTGAAAATATTGTCAGGCAACCTGCATATTTTCTAAATAATAATGAATTAATAATTTCTTAATAATAAATTGGAAGTATGAAGTACTCAGTACAGAGGAGGCCTCTACCCAGCTGTGGGACATATTTGGCTGTTACTGTGTGATTTATTGACACATGACATACATTTAATGACACCCACACAGATTGACATAAAATTAAATGTATTACTAAAATAGTAATTTTGTTATATTAGGTCCCTACACATGAAATTGGCGTTTTGTACGGGAGGAATATAAAATCATATAAATTTATTTTTTTTGTAAAATAAATTTAATTAATCAAAGTATGCCATGTTGTTATGGCACTTTTGCCATCACTTATGTGGTTCATTGATCCCTTTAAAACCATGGGGGCGAGAATCAATAAACTCTTTGAAAGTGGTTTGGACTGCCGCTTCGGAGTTGAATTATTTTTCTTGTAAGAAGTTGTCCACATTCCGATAATCTGTTAGAGCAGTGCGGTGGATGTCGCAGACATTCCAATTGTAGCTCAGTGGATTAGTGGAGCTTAGTGGTTGTTTGTTGTGCAGTGTGTGGTCTTGCGTTGTCGTAAAGCAGCAGTGGCCAAGAGTGATTGACAAATCTCGGTTGTCTAGCAGCTAGTTCTTCCTTCATGGTTTGCAGTTGCTGACAGTAACAGATATCTGACGTAATCGTTTGGCCAGATTTTAGAATGCTGTAGTGAAATGCACCGGCGCTAGTCCAACAAACACCCACAAGTAACAGTTTTTCTGAGTCAATTTTCGTGGTTGCTTCAAGTGGATTAATACAGTTTTATCATTTACCCTGAAGCCTGCAGCTATCTCTGAAGTGCTTTGTGATGGATCCGCTTTCACAATAGCCTTTAATTCTTTATTTTCCACTTTGGTCTCCGGCCGTCCACAGGGTTCTGAAGGTCGAAATTTCCAGAAGGAAAACGTTGAAACGAAAAACCTTCCGTGCTTTCTTTTGCGACACCAGCGCCGTACACCTTATCCGTCGCCGTCATTAATCCTTCGAGCTGTTTCTGCAGCACTGGTGCCACGGTAGAATTCGTACTCGTAAATATACCGACATTTCATATTTTCCATAGTGCGGTAATAAGCGACGCCAAAGAATAAAATAATGAGGAAGAAACAAATGAATGACTGTTTTCAAAATTCAAATGTACTAGCTAAATGAATATATAAATTTGAATTTGGAATTCTTAACCTACAGGGAGATAGTACCTGGTAATAATAAGTAATAATAATGAGTAAGTAAACATGAAGTGGTGTTTTTCAAAAAAGAAAGAACTTTAAAAAAAAAGGGAAAAAGTAACAAAATCATGTGGATCAAAAAAAATAAGTGTGTAAATGATCGTGACACGAACCACGTTCTTCTGTTTCGGGGCCGCCCTATTACCGACCGAGCTATTATAAAATTTTTTTACGCTGAAATTTACCGTCGTATTCGAATGATATTTTTCATTCCATGAAAACTGGGATAAAACGATATTTTCTAAAAATGAAACCTAGCCAGATCGATTTTTCGCCCCCGAATCTACGCACATACTAAATTTCATGAAAATCGCTGGAGCCGTTTCCGAGATTTCGATTATATTATGATTATGGTCAGTAAAACAAAACGCTAAATTCTAAGGAAGGACCTAATATTTTAAATTCATTCACAAATCTTAATTTTTAACTTATCTAAACAAGTCAGTTTTGAGTTTACGTGAAATTAAAGATGTATACAGGAAGGCTTTTCTAAGTATATCCATTTTTTTTTATTAAATTCTAGGCATAACTAATGTTATATAAACAATGATAAATATTTTACATCACTGGTAAGTAATTAATTGAAACATTAATTTGAAGTTATCTCAAAAAAGATAATATATAATAAAAAAATAATATATCGAATTTTAATACTGGAAATACGAAGTACAATAAAACTAAATACAATTGAACAGGCCCCAATATAATATACCTTCATTATTTCATAATCTAATGTCACATTTTGAGCCACATAATAATTGTTTTTTTTTTTTTAAATTGTCCTGATTTAAATTTATATCCTTGAGACATAAATATATACTGAAATGATATTGATCCAGTAATTGTTAAAGTTTTTAATCACTTAAAAAATCAATACTGCTCATGCTATCTATGTGTTGAATGTTATCTCCATAGCAACATTTGTTATGATAATCAGGTCAATGTTCAGTCAATAGCAGAATAGTAATTTAACCTACTTCTATAGACTGTAAATGTCAAAGTGAAAAATTATGTTCTTAAATTTTATGAAACATATGTTATTATTCATTAAGCAGTACTTACAACAATAACAGATAATAGTCATATTGTCTGTAGCTGTTTTCAAATAGTATTCATTTAATATATATTTTTTTATTAACTGGATGAACATTCTTCACCTGGTTTTACTTTTGATAATATTTATAGCATTTTATTTGAAAAAAAAAAAAAACATCTTGTAAACTGAATCTATCTACTTGCAGGTCTGGTGATGCTAAGTACTCTCACCTAGCAGATGCTGATATGCAAAAAGTAGTAGAGGCATCTAAAAATGCGTTGAATTGGCTGGAGAATGCTCGCCAAGCTCTTGCCCACACTCCTCGGTACCAACAGCCTCCTCACACCACTCACCAAATTCGTCAAGAAAGACAGGTTTGTTTGTGTGGCTAATATAAGTTTCGTTTGTCAATTAATGGATTTAATAAATATCTCAGGGAGAAAGACTGATTTTTTTCTCTAAATGATAACATATGGAATCTTAAAAAAAACGTGGAGCAGAAAGTTAGCGAAGTTTGGGATAGGCATGTATATTTTTTTCTGGTTAACAACAATAAAAATCATATAGTAAGCAGGCAAAACTTGAAAGAAAAAAAAAAAGAAGCAAGTATCGTAAATTAAAAAATAGAAACTAAAACAAACAACTAGCTTCATGATTATTCTCATATGTCATACCCCACAGATCTATGATTATTTAAACAGCCTAGGAACACATACTATAAAATTTCTTATAGTATTTGTATATTGCCATAATATGAAACTTATTTTTTTTATTACAGAACTTTGAAAGTATTGTCAACCCAATCTTGAACAAACCTAAGCCTAAGGAAAAAACACCACCTCCATCAAGCAACACATCTGGAGACGGCCAGCCTACTCCCAATCCAGACACGCAAGCACCACCCCAGCCGCAATCTCAAGAACAAATGGACGTCGAATAGATCCCGCCTTTAACTCAAACATGATATCTCACTCACACACATGTAACACATACAGGACATAAGACTAAATAATTCAATTCTATTATAAAATTGCCTAGTGTGTGTCAATTTGGTGTAAAATTCATTGACTTCCAAATTATGATTGTAATGTATTCAAGCTTATGGCAAAGACAAGGAATTAGGTGTCATAAGAGAAAATGAAGTAATATATTAGACGGTTAACAAAATTTGAATCAGAAATTTCAAACTAAATTAATTGTATGATGATAGGAAGTTTTGTATAAAATAACTATTACTAAATAATTTTGCTTGATAAATATGGTTTAATTAATTATTAGAGTGCTCATTATAAATTATATATAGTTGTTTGGTACAGATTTGTCATCCACATCTAATAAACATGTATAAAATACATTAACTTTGTTGAATACATTGTATACTCCGTTATACATAACTGTACTTAAATTACCAGAAATTGGAATATGCACTTGCCTATTATTTAGTCTTGTGTCAATTGCACTTATAACACCCACTATTGGTATTTGTTAATGTTTATTATTTTGACAACTGGTTTGTCACAACTCAGGTGTTATCATATGTTTACTACATATTGAAATATAATTTATTGGAACGAATATATTATTATATGATACATGTATACATTTCTAATAATTACAAATGCTCTCAGCTATTACTAGTGCTTTTTTGTTAGTACACATATGGTGCATTTTGAACAATTACTGCACGTTTTAGTTTAATTGACTTCCAAGTATTAGTAAATTGTTAGTTTCAGGATCTTTGTAACTAATGGTGTATCTCTTAGTACACTCAAAATAAGTTTAATGCTGTGAAGATTTTAGGGTGGATGCATGCAAAATGCGTGTGATGAAGTGATGAAATAAATATATAGGAAAGGATTTAAGATGCTTATTAGGTTTATAAAATTAATTAAAAAATGCCTTTGCACATTAAAATCAACGTAAGAACTGCGTGTAAGCACGAGATTTGTTTGTTACTGTCTAATACTACCTTTTGTAGTGCATAATGTAATAACATGGCATTCCTCATTTATGGCATTATTAACACAGTGCAAATGGCATGAGTTATTTGATATTGTCCACGTGGGGTTAACACGTGAATTTTGCCGATTGCCGGATTAGGAACACTTTTTGTCATTTAAATCGTTACTTTCTTTCGAATCTGCTTGTATGTGATCTAATTAATGTGAGATTTTTAGAAGTTTTCATCTACCAGAGGTTATGGAAAATTTCGTAACCATAACAGTATTCGATCGGTAAACGATTGCTCTGTGTTGACATTATCGTGTTCAAATTAACCTAATTTATACTACACCAAGTAACTTTAACGTTTTGTGCTTACTTCTTCTGGGTCCAGTACCTATATTACTCGAATTAATCTTTCGAGGGCACAGTCCTATTATGTTACGGTAATTCCATAATTTACTTTGTTGCTATTAGGTTCCTTTGGCCTATGTGTACATTTTAAACAAAATGGTTCACCCATTTGAATGTTAATTGTGCATTTTTAATGTTATAAAAGCTTAGTAAATGAATGATTTAACAGAATGCCTTTTAATATGAAACAGTAATTTCCCATTTCAAAGTCAAACTTTGTATATCGGAGTGACACTTGTCTCATTCACTTATATAAAAAAATACAAATATAAATTACTTATATTGTGTATAATATAATTGAAGTGAACGTAATAGATAAATGTCACTTGTGGGTTCGAGGTTTGAAATGGACCGTGACCTCGATGGCTGTTGGTGGAACATGGGTGTATGTTATCGTGTCTTGTATGCTAGTACCATGTGTTGGTACAGTGTTGTAGGGTGGACCCATCAGAGGTTTAAAATGGTTTTCGGATCTATCGATGGTATCGTTGGTTGGCTAAAGTGTTCGATCTAAAAACTTAAATAGATTATCGTGGGGGCTCTACGCGAATCCTAGGGAGTTTGAGAGGCCACACAGTTTGGATACAATGGATTAGGCCAACTTTTCGGGTTAAGGTCGAGCTAAGCCGTCTATCGAGATGGTGGTGTGGAAGCGTTGGACGCTTGAAATGGAGTAAGTCAGGGGTGGAATGTCGCTGAGTCTGAGTACCTAACTCATTGCCTTCGACCTACTTCGGGATGCCTCTCGGTATATCGGAGATTGCGGTCCTCTGGTAAGGGGAAGGTGTGAAAACGTACTTTAGTGTTATGAAGGTACTTAGTGCAGAAATTGTCCAAGTTTGAAAGATAAACCTGGAGCCCGTATTTTTTTGGAGCGCATGTTGCGGAAATTATGACGTTCGATCCAAATCGAGATGTGGCTTTACTTAGCCTTTCCCCATGATTGGCGACTACGGATCCTATGGTAGTCCTAGTGGTTGGTACTTACTGCTGCTCCGCGGAGGGCTTGAGAGGGGTGCCGTGTTCATTGCACCGACACGGCACAATTTGGCTGGATCGGGTCTAAGCACCCGAGGAGAGGAGGCCTGAGAAGGCTACAGTCGCGCCGGGTTCGCGGAAGATTGCGTTTACGTGTTCCCGTGTCCCCGGCAAAGCGGCAGCGCAGGTGCAACTTAGGTTTAAAAGTGGGTACACCGTAACCCACATACCCCTGCTGCCTGCCCACAAGGCGGCGGGGATCCATAGAGGATTTTTCCCACGTAAAAAGTCCTAGTGGTTAGTAAGAAGAAGTTTGGAAAATGACTGGTCCAATGAATGTGGACGAATTCGGGGCGCGGGTATCAGCAAGTCGGAGCTGTCTCTATCGAAGGCCATCGAAGTAAAAGCTACTGTCGAGGAATGCGACAAGCGTAAAGGATAAAACTATAAACTAAGTCGTGGAATGCGTATACCTCTCTACGTAGAAGTACGGGAACTGCCAGTTAGCATTAAACTACGCCAGTGATTCTCAACCTTTTTTTGTTGCGGCACATATTTGACGATTTCAAAATTTGGCGGCACACAAAGAAAAAGATAAAACATATTTACTTACTACAACACACTGCATAAATAGTTTGACAAAAATTTTAAATATACGAAATAAACTAATATATATAACAATAATAACTAAACGTTTATTAAGGGATTAATTACAAGCTAATAATGAAAATATTTTTAATGCGAAATTTGAGCTTGATGTTTTTTGATAATTTCATTTATATTTGGTCGTAAAAATGACAATGCTACTCTCAAATCGTTTTCTATATTAACAATCTTGATCTTTTTTTAGTTTTAATGTTGGCTAATGCTGAAAATCCGAATTCACACAAATAAGATGTGGAAAATTGTAATAATATGTTTAAAGCTTTTTTGGCTATCATTGGATAATCGCATCTGATGTTAATCCAAAATGAATTAATTGATTCTTCTGAATACTTTAAAATTAAATCTCGATTATTGGAAAGCAAAATGAGTTCTTCCTCTTCATTCAAAGTTAAGTCAAATACAGAAGTTTCCGTTATGAGAAATGGATTACGAACCCAATCAAATTTCTTAATATCTAATTTTGGGAAATAATGAATAATTCTCTCCTCTAATGTTGTCAAATGATCGACAACAATTAATTTAATAGTTTTATAACTGTCTTTAGCGACTGACTCAAACTTTTCTAAATTGCCTTCCTGAGCTTTATTTTTCCATAAAGTTATGGAAAAATAAAGCTCAGGACTACTAAACTATTTATTTGTTAAAAAAATTAATTTGTTTTTTGAATCCCACCAGCTTATCGGTTGAGTTTAAGATATTTTCATTTCTTGTATACTTGAATTGATGTTGTTAAAAATAACAAAAATGTCTGATAAGTAAGCCAGTTTAGTACACCATATTTTATCTTCTAACAAATGAACAAATTCATAAATTTTATTTTGTTCAAAAAATATTTTCATTTCGTGTTTTAATTTCAGCACACGAGATATAACTTTTCCTCTGGACAACCATCTTACTTCTGTATGGAGTAACAAGGATTCGTACTTGGCTTCCATAGCTTGGCATAATTTACTAAATAATCTACTTTTTAATGGTCTTGATTTGATATAATTAACCATTTTAACACATTGTTCCAGAACTATTTTCAAATCTGATGGCAAAACTTTGTAACAAGTGCTTCTCGATGCAAAAAACTAATATATCCTCATTCAGTTCTTTAACATGTGCTACAAATCCTTTTAAATGTCCAGTCATAGCTGGAGCACCATCTGTGCAAATGCCAATACATGACTTCCAAGAAACTTTAATTTCTTCTAAATATGAACTAATTACTTGAAAACCACCAGTTGTAAAACTCTGTCAGGTAACTCCCGACAACATAAAAATTGATTAATTATATCATTTTCGTGAATAAATCTAACGAATGCAATTAATTAAGCATTTCCTGTAATATCTGTTGTTTCGTCGACTTGTAGAGCAAAATTCGAATTTGCAAGAGTTTTTGCAGTATTTTGCTCAATATTTTCTGACATATCTTTAATTCTGCGATGGATTGTATCATTTGAAAGTGGTATTTTACAAATATCAATATCAGCTGATCCACCAATCATTGTTTTTACAATTTTGCGACAAGCACGTAATATAATTTCTTCAGCCAAATTGTGAGGTTTTAAGTTAACAGCAATCAATTCAGCTATTTCGTAAAAGCTACTTGAGCCTTTTCAGACACACATACTTGTTTTTCAAAAACTTTTACTTGCTTAATTTTTGATGATAAAGACCTTTCAAAGTAGCTTTTATATTTTGTTGAAAGCGAAGGATGATTAGTCACCAAGTGACGTTGGAGTTTGCTAGGAACCATAGCACTATTTGATAATTTAAAACCACATATCACACACTCGGGAACAACTGTCATTTTCCACTCATTTGTAATTTATGAATATGGAAAATGAAAACTTTCTGAAATTGTGAAAAATTTAAATTTTATGCGAAGAAATACAGACACAGTGTGCGTGTGCAGCAAGTCAGCACATAAGCTCGGGATTCCCCGTGAGATGTGTACACAGCCCACGTGTTCAATCACAGTAGCATTTAGTAGAGTGCGATAAAAACAAAAAAAACTTATTTGGAAAACCGTGTAAAAGCGAAAACGTGTAAAACAAGTACCGTAAATCGGGGGAAATTTTTGTACGCAGAAGTGGCAAGTGTGCGCCGACTTGAGACATATTCCTATTGCTATGCAGGCCGCTTCATCATAATTTGGCACTAAGAAAAAACGCAAATAATAAAATATTTTTTTTTTTTTATTTAAATATATATTCATGTTAAAAATATTTTTCTTTTTAAATGATATTTGCAAAAATTGACGGCATACTTTTGAAATTTCGACCGACTACCGACCGACACCAGCACTAGCCTATGTCCGCAACGGACGGCAAGTTGCTGTAGTTGAGTAAATGGAATCAAAAGATTTCTATTTAGTTAAATGACTTTCAAGTACCTACCTACCTAAATTTTTAATTTCTATTACTTTATTATTAATTCAGTTGTTCAGGACATAAACCTTTTTGGGAAGGTTGAATATCCGTATTAGTAATATACTACTATTTATAAAGATATTTTTGAGATAAAAAAAAGGTTTGTTTAAATGTCATATCTAATCGCTGAAAAACAAAGATACGAAGTTTGTCCAACATGAAGGAATTTGGAAATTTAGCTCATATACGAGGGATTCTTTATTTTAGATTATCACCTTATGAACAGAAAGCGTACGCTGGAGCGTTAACTAAAGGTCTCCCTAATATGATACCAAGAACGTTGATGACGTTACCATATTGGATGCCATGTAAGAAAACGAGCAATAATAATTTATGGTCGGTGATTTCGACATACCCAAGTTTAAGAGTACTTATTTCTTACATATATGTTAAATCATATATGTTTAAATAGGAACACATAGGTCATCTGTCTTTGAACTGATGTTAATAAACAGAACGTAGATATAAAATCTCAGAAAAAGGAAATAATGTAATTCATAAAATAAATTAGAGCAAATCTAACGAGGAATATCTGACAAATAGACCTGACCTGACCATGCATAAGTTATCAGAATTCGTTATTTTACTTCTTGAATGATTATCAAAACTTATTTCTTTTACAGCTTTACTTATTGGAGGCTTAACTTACTTCTATGTGGAAGAATCTTACAGACAGTCAAAGCGCAAGAATCCCAAAGATTATATTGATGAGGTCGATCCCAATATACAGTAGTCGTCGCCGCCTTTCAATGTTTTTATGTAATTTTCTTGTAGTGTGATTAAATGTTATAAAATTCATTTGGAGGTTTTTCAATCTCTACAAACAACAAAATACACTTTGCACAGTGGAGTAAGATCCCAGCTAGAACCGCCGGAACAAGTTCAAGAAACGATTTTTATTGGACGACGAAGGATAGATGTGCTTATATTAAAAATTATGCCCGTTTTTTTCATTGCTTTCCGCTTCGTTTTGGGGACACTTATACGGCTGCAGAAAACGGTTAATAGACCCCAGAAGCATTTAAATGTTTAACGTTTTTTTTTCCTATGACAAAATGGACATAAAAAGATGGATCTAATAGTCTATGACGCGGTAGATTCGATAATAGACTTCCTTTTATAATATAAGTGGCAGTCCACGCAACACTCCGGGGAAGCGCCAGTACCTCACAGAAGAGCGACAAGAAGTGGAAGAGTAATATTTCTGCGTTTCGTCTGGTGAGAGATTTAATCAATGCCTAGTTTATTAAAAGGTAGTGACGCATCTACAACCCTACCGATGTTGCAGGTGTCCGGGATGGCGGTTATCCCTAAACATCAGGTGAACCGTCAGCACGATCATCGTTAAATATGACATGTGACACGTGACACACTCGTGCGAAATTTGGCACAGTACCGGATTAGTAATCAATTCAGCCTTCTGAGTTCACTGCTTATGTTCAGAGCCTCCCCCAGTGATTATTCGTGTTCACGTATCGAATGGTAATATAATAAAAGTGTAAATCAGTATCAATGAATGGTATCTTATTTTGAAGAATAACGATTTTGATTCTATTTCGCTATCTTTCATTTAAAAAATTGTCATTAGATTGCATTACAGCATTCATTTATAAGAGATTTTTTAAATGTTTTATTCTGAAGACATTAAATTTATCCAGTTTGTCTATTCATCGTCAATAGCGGCAAATATAACCTCCAAAATGGCGTATCAATGATTAAATTTCATAAAAGATTATATAAGTTATGGCGGAACGGTAAAAAGTACTTGAAACATAACATCAATAAGGTGGATAATTCATTAGTAACAGAAATAACATTTACATGTAAAGGGTAATTGAATATTTGTGAAACTAATGTACCTAAATAGTTTATTCATTAAATCTCTGTGCATAATATAATTGATCGGTAGTAATTCTGTTGTCCGTAATTAATAACGATTCTGAACATTTTCTCGCCAAAGAACAACATTACACATCCACATGGATACAATACACATTTATCACGATAACATTTATGAAATCTTCACCTTCGGACTATGGAGAATGAGTGTGGTGGCCATCATGGTTTACCGCGAAAATCGTGAAAACAAACATACTTACCTAATTAATGAACGGATCGCTCCATATTTTGCGCCTCTTCCTGACTATTTCTTAAATAGAGGAAAAAAATAGATATCATCCATTGGATGATATCTATTTTTTTCCCTTGATAATATTTTTCCGTAAATCAAAGACAGCCTGGATTATTTTTTCTTTCACCAAAGCGTCACAAATTATTCTTTCTCTTGTCTTTGTTTCACAATAATGTTCTTCGCAATAATGCGTCGAAAACCCTGCTAATCTCTCTGCTAATCTCACATACACACACACCAGGGTTGTCTATACTGCCCTAGAAGTCGGACAGGTGCAGGTGCGGGCATTGGAGATTCAAACCCCATTGTCTCAGGGGGCGCACCGTCTTGCTAGTAAATGGCGCCTAGTATCGGCACGGACAGTAATGGCATAAAGCGTGTCTCTAAGTTTTACGTAAAGCCATCCGACTCTAGTGCAGTTTCCCGTGGTGACATGCGTCGAAGACATTTTTATAATTTTTCTCGTATACATATTTGTATTGTTGTCGCTAAATACAGTCACAGAACGCTGCAATGCTTCCTATCTGTTTATAGCTTAATTTTATGTATAAGGTTAGAAAATGAAGTGGTAGGCTTGTAAGTAACAGAAAATACGTTTTTCACTAAATAAGTATGTATATTATTATAATATCACTCTTATAACACAATTGGTGAATATATTAAACATCATTTTAAATTATATGATTCCCTGCGTCATAAATCGTCTTCCTCCAATAAAATACGCTATGTTTTCGTCAAATGCATTCTTTGAAAATTTTGTCCTTCTGATCAAAGTATCTATTTAATCGAATTTCTGCATATCTGTATGTGTGGATGAAAAATGATTCATTACATAAATTATCATCAAAAATAGTGGTGGATATGCTGCTTTGGTTTTGCTTCTAGGTTTATTTATATACGGCTATGTTTGGTTGTTGCCAGATTTATTATTAGTCATATAAATAAAATCCGCAGTAATCTATTGATGAAACTCAACAAGACATCAATAGATTATAATATTGTATAATTCAACAGAATTACATTGAGAGATGCCTAAGCATTACAATTACGTATATACCTACTTGTGGTTTTGATAGTGAATTAAATTTGCCTACATGGGAACAGATGGGAAGCACCAGCTTTCACAAAAGTTAAATAAATCAAAATCGGTTGGCTCAGTCGAAAGTTGTGAGGTAACAAACATAAAAAAAATAAAGTCGAATTGAGAACCTCCTCCTTTTTTTAAGTCGGTTAAAAATGAGATGTATTAAAAACTTACGTAGCAAAGTCGAAGTCGATATCGGACAGTTCGTATTGCACTAGTGACCAAATGCCCCAGAGGAAGTGCGAGGCCAGCGAGAGCTGCTGTACCTCTACGTACACCTTCTCGACTTCTGCGTCACCAGGGCTCTCTTGACAAAGGTACTCGGACAGGTATAAACGAATCCAGTACATTTGGAACTCTTTGTCCGGGTATCTATTGTAATCTATATCATACACAGACAAGCCTGCAACACAGTAATTTATTTTTCAAGGAATATTATGGTTTTCATAGAAATGCATAAATATTCTACGGCCCTTATTGCCAGCATGTTGTTAGTGGTTTTGGGAGGATTTCGTTTACGATCAACCGCCTGCTAGGAGTAAAACCCTTCTTGAGAGCAAACACTCAAATCGGGGACAATTATCTGTGGGTCACACAACCACTTGTCAATAGTTTAGCAACTGCGTCACCGATACCATACGAAGATTTGATAACATTTATTTTTACGCATATACTGCAGACGTTGCTATTTGGTTTTATGTAGTTTTATCATCACTATAAGCAAGGGTGGGCAACACGTCAGCAAGGGTGTAGATTTCGATAAAATTTTCTTTATTATTATATTATATATTCTCTTGCAGCGAAGTAATTAGTAATTCGGCTAAATAGCCAAAAAGGTCATAAACATATATTTTTTTATCTACCCGTAGTTAAAACAGTTTTCGAACAACAGATGTACATCGCACTTTTCAAACGTAGACTGGAAAAAGCATACGAGAACAAATTAATTTCAACATTTCACGATATATATATATATATTATGTACCTACTACGCGTAAAAGTTGACATACCCTGATCTATAGGAACACGATGTGCCAATTGAACTGAATTGAATTTATTGAAAAGGTGATTTGCACTTCCATTCATTCATATTCATTCTCTATTATTCTCCAATTGTACTCAATTACTGATCTTTAAGATCCCATCCTAACTTAACAATCCCCTAAACAATCTTAATTAAGTTTTATCAAATTTCCGTTTTGTTACTTAAAACTTTATTGTTTACCTTATAAATTGTAATAAAATTGTACTTTCACGTAGTCAGCATTAATACGTGGCTTTTGAATATATGTTAATAGTTAAAAGTATGGACCTGTTTAAGCAACTGCCAGATCATTATGTTCAAAATACACAAACAGAGAAGTATTTCAAAACAAAATGACAAAATCTGTGCTAAATATTTGTGGACCCGGTATAAATGTTTTAGACCTTACAACAACAACGCGCTCGATTTTTATTGGAACGTGAATACACTCACAGTTGAATATTATCGTATTTCCTTTTAACTGTAAAATAAAAAAGGCCCTGAAAATGTTTTAATCGTCGCTAACTTATTAAATAAACTTATAAGCTAGTTTATTTTACGTTATTATTGTGATGCACTTTTAAACTTAGACGAATATGAAGCCCATACTGCGTTCTAATAATTGTAAATCTCATTGTTTGATTTTGTTTTTGTATTTCTCTTCAAATTTATGTTTTACCTTAATATACGTTACAATGTGTTATGTAGAAGTAAATGTAGTAGTACTGTTATCTCGTGAGGTTATATATTTGTTATCACTCACATGTTTATAAAACATAAAATGTTCATACAAATGAGCAAATAAAGGAGGGTTTACGATACGTTGTTATTAAAAAAATACTTATGTAACTAGAAACTAGTAGATAATACAATACGAGTGACGGCTGAAAGGTTATGAGCCTAATGTACTTTTAGTTATGCTAACTAGTTATAATAACTCTCGCAACTACTCACTCAGTTGAGCGACGTCAAATTTAGACTTAAGGAAACTTTTATAAATCTTCATAATACATGTTATTGTACAATGTTAAATGTCATTAAGGCAATTGAACAAACTCGAGCATCGTACCGTATTAGATTATGTATTTCAGTTACAAATTTACACTGCAACGGCAATGGAAACCATTGCTCAACATAATGTGTAAAGGAGCAACCATTACACATTATGTTGAGCATATTTCAAAGACGAGCCCCTCCAGAAAACGACGCCCGCTCTGCCCCTCCAAACACCGGTACATAAACAGCCAAATTCGGTACTGAATGATTTAAATAATGTGGATAGCAGACAAGGTAGCGGGTGCAAGTAACGCGGAGACATTTTCTCGTGGATAAAATTCAGCAAAAAAAAAAAACGTCGATTTGAGCTTTATTATAATTTCAGACATGCAAAAACAACTTTAAAGAGTTTTGTATATTCTATAGATGAGAGTTGGATTCGATACAGAAATCAATGCAGTCAAAATTCATAAGAAGTATAATTGACGGTTTCGAAACTCACATCGCCGCTTTTATCCTCACTTGTGATGTATATTTTGGGATTCGGAAGGACTACCTTCTTACAATTAAAACTGCTGATAACTATGTAGTACATTTTTTTTAGCAAATAGTATTGTTTTAGGAATAACGGGAGGCAAAATCAGTGAAGAAATCCTGTTACACACAAATAAATGATCAATTATTACTTTCACCCTAATTAAAAGTTTTAAAATCAAACTCGCGAAGGACAAAAACTTGAGAACGAGTAACTACGGAAAGTACTTGGACTTTAATTTTTAGGAAAACGGCGAGTACATACAGTAAACAGAGAACACGCATTATGTTGAACTACAAAATTTATATCGTTTTCCTCTCTGAATACTTAGAACATTTTAGGCTTAAAACATTTCTTCCTACAATCTTTACAAAATTAAGAAGACAAAATATATTATTTGTCTTACTTACCCACGTATTCGTTGAAATGATTTGCTATATCATAAGCCTGGTAATTATAAGCAGCATATTCAAAGTCAATGAAAGACACCATCCCTTTAGACTCATTGTAGATGACGTTTCCTAGAAGCAAATCATTGTGAGCAAACACGATGGGGCTCTCGGATTTCGTTAATTTCGACTTAAGGCGTTCAAACTCTATCCTTAGTCTTGTTACAGATCCGAAACTACTGGCAAATCTACAACAGTGGACAAAACGTGGATATTAAACATTTCGATAGTCCTCTTATCAACACGATCTGTGTGATATTTCGATTATTTTCAAATTATTATAATTGGAATAATATTAACTTTAAAGATATTCATTCAGTCAACGGCCATCTGGGTCACTGTCCGCACCGAACCTCGATGGCCCATAGGCGACATGCCATAATTAACGCACGCATGAGTACATGCTCGGCCCTACCCACTGAGGAGGGCCTCATACCGTGGGTTCTGGCTAGTCCACCTGTTCTGCGTTCGATAAAGCTTTAACAGTCTAAGGACTGCAAGCGTAACATCGTAGTTAAACGCACGCATGAGCACATGCGCGGCCCTACCCACAGCGGAGGGCCCAAACCCGTGGGTTCTGGCTAGCCCACCGGTTCTGCGTCAGATGAAGCTTTAATAGTCATAACATCAGTTAATACAAGATACAAGAAGCGTAATATCAGTTATAAAAATACAAATACAGAAAGAAGCTTTTCGTAATATCATATATTTATGTCAAAAATAACTTAGAACGATATTAATTTTTTTAACTTTTTGTCTGTCCGGGCTAAACCCATAAACAGATTAATAAATTAACTGTTATAGGTGTTGCATTAGAGATCTAGTAGGAATTTTCCAGATGACTGCATGGACTAGACAGTTTTATAGCCATACAACAATCTAAAAGGGTAAGCTGTGACAGCTTACCCTTTATTTTTATTATTTTGTTACAAAGGCTTGCCTTGAAAAAATGACGTTGATTAATTTGAATCCCGGGTGAAATTGGATCAAAATGAACTTATATTCTAAACATAAACAATAGCCATATCATATCAAAGTAAGCATTAATGTCAAACTTGTCTGTTACAAGATCGTTAATGTAAAACCAAGACCATATTTATATTCAAAGGTCCTAAAAACGAGAGTTTAAAATTAGTTTGGCACAATAAAATCTAAAAAAAGTTTTTCATATCAACAAAAAATTTGTAATTGAGGGGAAAACACCTAATAACCTATTAACACTCGTTTTAAATAAATATTTTGATAAATTTTAAAACCAACAACATATCTTTCAATTCCATTGGGCAAAAAAAAAAAACTAAATGATTGATTTTAAATAAATTCATTCAATATTCTGTTTTGGTTGAAATCTAATTAAAAAGCTATTATTTTGTCAATTATGCCGGGATTCTGAGGAACTTTTGTCGGGAGTTTATTTGTTAGCGCTATTGGTTCGATAACTTACGAAAGTGCGTTTCTGATCAAAGCCACGACAAGATAAATTCCGTTTAAACTGAAGTTAATCTAATTGATCAATGAGCGCCGTTTATCGATTCCATAACTTTCTGTGACGTTTAACTTTTTAAAAAATTCAAGTTTTAGCTTAATTCACGATTTAAAATAATTTATCGGTGAGAGTGAGACCTAAATTTTAAAATCGTCCAAAGGAAAAAAATAGCATTATATATATGTGTTAATGCCATCCAAGCTTGTTCCTTCGCCTCTACTGTCATATTATGTATTATACTGTCATATTATGCATATAGAGGTCACATTCGTCTTTTGTTGTCTTTTACAGATATAAAGTCTTTGGCTACTTCTTGAAACATCTCTTTCAGTAAAATTTTTACTACTTTTTTCAAACCCCATTACTGTTTAAATTTAAGCAACAATAGGCCAGATCACTAAACTTATAATTAAAACAGCAAAGGAAGTAAACTAATATTACCAAGCCAAAAATATAACAAAGTCAATCATAGGACAATGAGCAAGGAGCTTTGGAAATTTTTATTTGACAATGATGTTGTTGATACATTCCCTGATAATTACTAAAAATTATGAATTTACTACTAAAACAGCGCTTATCAACTTATTTACCTCAAAAAAAATATTATTATAATTAAAAATAAAGAATAAATATAATTCATTTAAATACTCCTTATAATAAATTAATAAATCTATTTTAAGCTCAATGACAAACAGACCCATCTAGCAGGAGACAACTACTTATCTGTTCAATAGTTTGAAGGATTCGTTGAGAATTTAGAAACGCAGTGATAGTTAATCAGTTTATAATATACATAACTATATTTTATGTATATTATACATTATATAAAAAGCCATGATAGCTCAGTGTCCAGGCGCTCACCTTCAATTTAATATACTCGAGCAACCCAAATTCGATCCTGGGTGCCTGAATGGGTGCAATGAAATTGTTAATTTCAAGTGCTGACTAATCACATGATCAGAGGTGAAGGAAAACATCCTGAGGAAACCTGCATATTTTCGAAACAATAACAAAAAAATTCGAAGATATGTGAAGTTAACCAATCCGCAGTAGGGCAGCATGGTGGAGTATGCCCCCTGGATTGGGGCCTTTGTCTAGCATTGGGACATTAAGGGCTGTTACTTTAACTTTATTGAACTAATGGATAATCTGAGTATAACCGAGAACTAACTGACCATAAGTTTTTTTTATTTTATTAAAAGCTTGATAAATAAAAAGTCTAAAAAGTTTAAAAGAATGCCTGCTGACCTGATCTGCTTTTCTTCATTTGCAAAAGATTCAGGTATTAAACACAAAAATTGTTCAATTTTATCCCATAGCATTGGTTCTTTTGTAATCTGGAAAGAAAATATGTATTATGATTGACTATTCTTAACCTAATATGATTTAAATCAGTAGATTCAAATTACAAATTCATGAACAGATATCAATTATGACAATCACCATTCAAGTTTTTGTAATGTGATGAAAATAATGCTTACTTCTTTACCAAGTTCTACTTTATGCATTTTAGCCATATGTTGGGCAACCATAGCAACAACTTTTAAATCTCTAACTATGTCAACATTGAGTGTAACTCCAGGATAATATTCATAAACCAAACCATTTTTAAAGACCCCAAAAATTTTTGGAGCTAACCCATGGCCATTAAGTGTTGTTATATTTCTGAAATAAACAATTAATGTAACAATTAGTATGAGGAAGATTATTAATCTATACTAATTTAATAAATATTTATTTTTAAGCTTTGTGATATAGATCATAGAAAAACTAGAAGTCATAATAAACTAAACACTAGAGTCATAAATACTAATAGTAACTTTTAATAACAGCGTAAGAAAAAACACCTTATTTCTGCAGTTCTATCAATAAGCAGATCCGTTTTATTTCCATATATACGAACAAGCACTATATCGACTCCCTCTGTGATTTCATCGCTCAAGTAGCAAGCTACTAGTTTATTTGTAATACCATCAGTGAAAAGCTGGAAAATTAACATGAGTTTTGTAAATAATCTAGACTGATCGTGTCATGATAAAACCATTTTACAACAATTAACCTTAAAGTTTATTTTTTCTTGAGACCAAATCGGTTTAATAGTCTCAAGAACTTTACGAATTCCAGAATAAATATTATTTTCATCTATCTCTACAGGCACAAATATATCAGATACAGCGAGTCGAGCCAGCGACATATTTTATAAATTATCTATTAAAAGTTTATGTAGATTTTAAGCTTTCTACGAAACTAACACTTTGTTATCAAGCGTGATGATAATTGGGCACAGCGATTCACTACTCATTTTATCTCCAGTAACTCCAGTTTATTACATACTACATTACATATATGTACTATCCGTACAAGTAGGTAATAGTATAATCTGTCAAGTGTCAAAATATTTTCTGTCAGAATCTCAGAATAACGTGACATCTGTTAAATGGACGTTCTAAAACAGTACACTAGCATTAGGGAGTGTAGAGATAAAGACCACCAATTTTTTAAGTGTAGTTTGCTGTAAACCTGGTGGCTTTGATAGCTTCGGCGAAGGAGATCCGCGGGCAGACGACCCACGTACTCAGAGGAACAACGTAGCTGATGCATATCAAGGACTCGACGACCCACAGAGGTGGGCCGCTCGGTTAGACGTATGAACCCAAAGATTCAAACCTCTAAGTGACCCTCTAAAGAACGAATAAGATCGAAATTGGGAAATAATCACGAACCGTTGCCATCAAACTATCGCTTCATCATCATCATTTCAGCCTGTTTGAGTCCACTGCTGAACATAGGCCTCCCCCACAGACTGCCACGAAGCCCGATCCCGAGCCACCTGCATCCATCGACTTCCCGCACATTTGCACAGATCGTCACTCCATCTAGTGGGGGGTAGTCCCACACTACGATGGCCAGTTCGAGGCTGCCACTCGAGAACCTTTCTTCCCCAGCGGTTATCGGTTCTACGAGCTATATTGCTGGCTCATCGCCACTTCAGCTTGCTAACCTTTGAGCTATGTCGGTTACTTTTGTTCTACTGCGAATGTCTTCCTTGCAAACTCTATCACGCAGAGAAAAACCGAGCATAACCCGCTCCATAGTTCGCTGAGCGACTGAGCTTCCTCATACGGCCAGCATTGAAGGACCCCGTCTCGTTTCCGTATGACATCACTGGCAACAGACATTGGTTGAACACTTTAGTATTCAAACATTGAGGTATATTCGACGAGAAGATTTGCCGAAGTTTCCCGTATGTAGTCCGAGTTAGATTCGTCGATTGACCTCTGCGTCGAAGTTGGACCTACCTAGCCGGACTAACTGTCCTAGGTATACGTACTCGTCAACAACTTCAAACACAGTGCTCCCAACAACAACTGGTATAGGCGTAACATGGACATTAGACATGATCTTCGTCTTGTCCATGTTCATCTTAATGGTAGGGCCGTTGAGAGACACTATTGAGGTCAGTGAACATAGTACTAAGGTCCTACAGCGATTCTGCCATGATGACTATGTCGTCGGCAAATCGAAGGTGGGTAATGTATTTGCTATTGATGTTTATACCACGTCCTTTCCAGTTCAGAAGCTTGAAAACATCTTCCAACGCATCGGTGAACTATCGCTTAAGATAAATTAATTATAATAACAATTCATTCCTGAAAACAATTCCTTTTTTAGGTTTTGTTTAAGGGGCCATTCACTATCCTGCCTGGCAGTCCGCTGTGCAGGACTGCAAAGCAGGATGTAGCCCATACACTATCCTGCAAGCCGTCTATCATAGTGTCAGTGTTATTGTTGTAATAATTATGGATTTACGTGAAGTATCGAAAAAAAAGAAAGTAGCGATTCTGCTATGTTTTTTTTTGTTGTTAGATAAAAGTTTTTATTAATAAATAACCTTTCCTCACATTATCATACTAATATACATAAAATTTAAGTAATAATCTAAGCTTTTCTCAAGTTGAACTATTTCAATATAAAAAAGGTTTTTAGCTTAGTTTTAATTATCACATCAGTCGGGCTTCCCGGGATGCACACGTTTTTTCTTGTTTAAAATAAAGTACCCAGTGCTGTGTAGATTATTTTCTAACATGTGAATAAAATTTAATTCCTAAAAATATTTCTAAAAAATTCCCTGTTACATAATTTCTTCTTCATATGGTAACACTGCCGCTATACAGGACGGCCAAACCACTGACGCTCCTGCGCGGCGGACTGCAAACGGTGGGCGGAGCTTGCAGGTCCCTTGCAGGATGCAAGGCGCGTCCTGCTCGGTGTTGCCAGAAACTGTGCAGGCCTGCAACACCATTCACGATCCTGCATAGAGCGGCGGATTGCACGGTGGACTGCCAGGCAGGATAGTGAATGGGCCCCTTTATTTGCGTTAACACAGTTTTAACAGATAACCAATTCACAATTATATTTAGTCGTCAATGGGAAATAAAATTCAAAAGTAATTATAGATATCTCAAAATTCCTTGCCATTCTTCTTGTCGGTATAGCGAATCTTTCACTGTGAAAGCGGTTAAACTATGGTACTCGCTACCCCATTATAATGCAATGCTTACCATATTTAACAAAGGGGCATCAAATTTGGTGTGGGAAATAGTAACAGGTGATGAATCATGAATTTATTGCTACGATCCCAAAACTTAATCGAACTTATGGGTCTTTCAAGATGAGACGAAACCAACCAAAGCGGCGTGCGTGAAAAATGTATACTGTGCATACTGTTGCTTTAGAGAATCGTCGTACCATGAATAGTGACTGGTACACTACTATTTGTTTGCCGGAAGTTATTGACGAACTGCGTAAAAATAACAGACACGACCAGACAGAAAAACGAATTGTTGCAGGTGAAAAACGTAGAACTTAAGAATCATCCTGCATACAGTCCCTACCTGGCACCTTGTAACTTCTTTCTGTTCCGAACTAAAATTAAGAACCAATTACGCGTTCAATCATTTTCATCACCCGAAGAGGCGGTCGAAGAGTATGAAAAACACGTTTATGAGGTCACCGCGGAGGAATGGCACAAAAGTTTTTAAAATTGGTTTAATCGTATGAAAAAGTGCAATTACGCAAAGGGATGATATATTGAGAAACAATAAATTATTGTTTGACCTTTAATATAGTAATTTTTCTTATTCATTCCGGAAACTTTAAGCGATAAGCGTGCCAAGAAGTAGTGCCGTCGTATGGCAGCACTTTCACTTTTGGTCCTTGTGCCACTCCAGTAGTGCCACTAGACATCGCGATTCCCGTGGTTTCAAGGCGCACTACTTTCTTCTGTAGTTCGGTGAGGCCGGTTTTCACATTTTCAACATCCAATCCTAACCCGGTAACTCGTTCTTCCACTACGTCGACATCTTTTCGAAGCTTAATCACCGTGTTACTAACATCATTTATAGCCCAAAGCGCTTTTTCTTGGAGGTCTTTTTGTTGCTCTTGTGACTCTTGCAAAGCGCCGAGCTTGCGTTCTTGCGACTCTTGCAAAGCGCCGAGCCTGCGCTCATGTGATTCCTTCATTGCTGGAATTTCAGCCCTTTGCAGTTCCATTAGTTCAATTAAACTTCCTAATTGAAGAGCCACTTCAGAGGCTGCAGAAGTTACGTTGCCACTGGTGGGCGTGGCAAGGTGGGCGGAGCCAGCGGGCGTGGCCCAGTGGGTGGAGTCAGCGGGCGGTGCTTGCACCAAAGGGGGCGGGGCCTGCGCCCGAGTGGGCGGGGCCTGTGTCCGAGTGGGCGGGGCTTGTGCCTGAATGGGCGGAGTCTGGGGGGCGTGGTCGGTGGGCGTGACCTGGGCGGTGGGGCCAGTGGGCGGGGCTTGTCCCACAGTGGGCGGGGCTTGGTCCCCAGTGGGTGTGGCCTCCGCAGCTCGTGCCCTTGTCCTGACACCCTCCTTGAAGTCTTCTCTTGGAGTCAATGGCATCTCCAAATCCCACTTCTGACGCCAGTTGTTACGTGTTAGGGGTTCGAAGGATTTGGAGAGAAAGACCTGCTGACTCTTTTGAAGACTTTATTTACTAGCGCTAGGTCCAACACAAAGCACTAGGTCCAATCACTTAGCACTAACGATGTCCTAGATTATAGCCAAGTCGTAGGTTTCACTGGTATCGCTCTAGATCACTAGTTTTCACTCCGAAGTCGCCTCGAAGGTAGCTCAAACTGAACTGTCATCGCTCGCCTCCCTGCGGCTTTTTATATGGGCCGAGACCGGTTCCGGACTAATCCAGAAAGATCCTTCCTGGAACGTACCCGACACGCACGAACATGTTCGTGATTCCGGAAAGTTCGCGAATGTACCCGGTTTTCGAGACTATAGTTCCACAGCAGTTCCTTTAACGCCATCTAGTGTTGAATAGGGGGTTTTATGTCGTCTTTGTTCTTAAGTAGTTTTAATAGTTGACGCTAGATGGCGTTAGTTCCTTTGTGTGTTCATAACAATACTTTTGATCCATCCAGCGATTACAGCGCGAGAAGCTGGTTTTGGTGATCCGCGTAGGGTTATAAATAAATTCGTAGAACCATTTTTACTACGTCTATCATTTAGTATTGTTATAGTTTTGTTGATCCAATGAACAGGATCCAAATTCTGCTTTTCAGTGTTAGCTAAGAGCCGCCAGCCAGACTGTCTATATTCACTGCAATCTGTTTTAAATCCGAATAAAGGCAACAAAGTAATAGAATCATTATTAATAACCTATGTCTAACAAAGTCAGGTCGTGAATTCTACGACCTGAACATAATATTAATAATGTTGCTGTATGTCGTACAGTCTGGAAAATATTATTACTGTTTACTGAATATTTACACATATAATTAGCGCGTATATACACAGGGGGCTTAGACGTCTGGGAATTTCTCAAGGATATGGATTTTAAAATATGCTTAACCAAAATATCCTCACTTAATCAACTACACAATTCTGTATTGCATAAAGTAGATATTACTGATTTGTGGAGGAGAATATATCTATAGGACAATTTATATTTAAGGTGCAGATCAGCTAGAAAGTGCGCCAATTGAGCTCCGTTAGGACGTACCGGATTTATTTTGTGCTGCCTAGTCCATAATAACCAGCGATTCCATGCTACTTTATATGTCTTCCAAGTGGAAAGTCGCCACGAGGACTTAAGTAAGCCTATCTGGTTGGCGTTCCACGAGCTAATCGACTCTGTCCGAGAACATTGTTCTGGAG